CATGTGAAGATTGGTTTGCGCTTGCTTTGCGCTTGGTCTGCGCTTGGTCTGCGCTCGGCTTTGCCCACTGAAACATTGGTCTGCGCTTGGTCTGCGCTTGGTCTGCGCTTGGTCTGCTGTGGGTCTAGAAATGCATGCACTCGGTGTAGAATCCAAACACCTTTGTTTATTATGCCCATACAAAGTTTTGAAATATGTGCATTTATTTTAGGTTTTGTAACGTCTTGCATGTCGTGCCTTGCCCTTATGGAGAGTTGCGACTCGCCAAAGCTGTTGCATTCATGCCTCTTCACAGGAATCTAGCTTTTTAAGCACTTTGGCATGATACTGTATGCTGCACATGCTATGCATTTCCTTGCACTAGCATTCCTCTTGTTCATGGTGATGTTCAAGTCGGTCTGCATTTGCTCTCCATTGTACTGAATTCCATTGCTAAAAAAATTGGTTTGCGCTTGGTCTGCGCTTGGTCTGCGCTTGGTCTGCGCCCAATTTTGCCCGGTGAAACATTGGTCTGCGCTTGGTCGACACTTGGCCTGCGCTTGGTCTGCGCTTGGTCTCTGTGGTGAAGACCACTGGCCCTGACAGCATTGCACGTGCATGATACCACATATGTTGCAATGTGCAAATCATGTATTTTTTATATGGATGGTGTTTGCCATTGCGGCTTTCTTGAGTGACTCAATAGTCTTCTATGCATTGCCGTTTCTTTCTGGATGCATGAGAGCAATGCAGACAATGCAGCTGATCTGCTATTATGGTTCAAACTTAATGGTCGTTTGTCCCTGTGCAACCAAGCATCGGGAGGCTTGAGAAACAACATGCCGCAGACAGCTCGGGTTTGCAATTCGTGTTAGAAGCATATACAGTAGCCGCCGGAAAGTTGGAAGGCGGCAATTGGAACGGTTGATGCGGCAACGGCATCTTCCAACTTTGGGTTTGGCTTGGTCCCTTCTTCCAACTTTAGGTCCCGGCGTTTGGACCGGTTGATGCGTATCTTCCAACTTTCGGTTCGCGGGAGCAGCTCCAGTAATGCAGAGAGAGAAACTGCAATTACTTCGACCGCTCCAGTAGTGCTGAGAGAGGGAAACGGCAATTACTACGACCACTCCAATATTGCAGAGAGAAAGAGAGAAACTGCAAGTATTACGACCGCTCCAGTATTGCAGAAAGCGAGAACCTGCAACTACTACGACCGCTCCAGTATTGCAGAGAGAGAGAGAGAGAGAAACTGCAAGTATTACGACCACTGCAGTATTGCAGACAGAGAAAAGCTGCAAATACTACGACCGCTCCAGTATTGCACAGAGAGCAAAATTGCAAGTACTACTTACTACGACCACTCCAATATTGCAGAGAGAGAAAACTGCAATTCCTAGGACCGCTCCAGTGTTGCACAATTACTACGACCGCTCCAATATTGCAGAAAGAGAGAAGCTGCAAATACCATGGCCGCTCCAATATTGCAGAGGGAGAAAAGCTGCAATTACTTCAGTATTGTAGAGAGAGGGACGGAGAAACTGCAATTAAATATTGGGTCTGCTTGGTCCCATCTTCCAACTTTAGGTCCCGGCATTTGGAGCGGTTCATGCGGTAATCAAAAGTGGAGTGGAGTGGAGGGACGACCGAGACCCGAAGGCCTGGCCTGTTAGTTAGCAGTGGCATCACCTCCGGCCCGAAGGCTTAAGGATCAAACCACAACGAAAACCGTGAAAAAACATAGGGTCTTAGGGCAGGCGAACCGGGTGGCCAACCGCGCACCCCAGGCGCAAACCGGATCCATCCCGACTCGAGTCTCCATCAGCTCATTGCAGCTCGCGTAACCGTGCACTCCAGGCACGAATCGGGATCCATCCCGACAGAGCTTCCATCAGCTCATTGTCACTTGCGTAACCGCGCACTCCAGGCGCGAACCGGATCCATCCCGCCAGGGCTATCAGCTCATTGCCGATTGCGTAACCGCGCACACCAGGCGCGAACCGGGATCCATCCCGACAGAGCTTCCATCAGCTCATAGCCGCTTGCGTAACTGCGCACTCCAGGCGAGAACCGCGATCAAGCCGAACTGCTGTACCATCGACACTTGCGTAACCGCTCACTCCCCGCGTGAAACAGGATCCACTGGTAGCTGTTCCATCAGATCATGTCAAGTGTAGAAGCGCGATCACCAGGTTCGAACCGGGAACCCTCCCGCAAGAAACACGTCAGCCTCCAGCCACGAAGAGACCCAAAATGCCGGCACTGTCGCCCTACTGTGACCCCCACGCCTGCTTGCTGGGTGCTCTTCGGCCTGGAAACAATCCTAGGCCTTAGTGCCGCCCCTGGGGTCCCAGCAAGCACGCCGGCGAAAGGGTTAACAACAGCAGGCCCAGGGGGCGGTAATCAAAAGTTGGAACGTTGCAAACTTGGAAGAATCCAAAGTTGGAAGATGTGTTTTGTTCCAATTGTGGGGTGCTGAAATTTTGGGTGTGCATCTTCCAACTTTGCGGCTGCCACCATAAGGTGTTGAAGCCAACTCACAACGAGCCCGAAAAGAGTGACATCAGCCAGAACGATGGGCTAATGTGGTCATGGCAACCCCTGCTGATTTCAAGGAACACGGTTATATCTCACAGAGTGCCCTCCCCATGACCACGGCCAAATGGTCTAACCGGAGTAGGGCATCGTGCAGATTGGGGGGCTTTCTGTTTTGTTGCCACACCCGCAGGACATCACATCCGCAAATCCACCCAGAGAGTTTTTCCGAGACACACACGCTGGACCATTGCATGGTCTTCATGGTGTTGCAGCCTCTACTCAAACAATTAAGCTCAAGATGCGGACACCGCATCACAAACACATTTTGATCTTTGGGTGTAAAAACTAAGCACCTGACAGAAACGATGCGACGCTGCAGAAATAAGCCCTGCACCTAGTCTTTTCTTTACGTTGGCATTCTTAACTTTTGCTCCCATGTTGCTTTGCATGCTGCCAAAACGATGCCACACAACCCTCAGAACCGACCCTCGCCCAACTTGAGCCGCCAAGAGACACAAGGGGTACGGGTATCCCTGCCATACGCCCTTCCCCGCCTATGGTGGTCCCCAAAATACCCTACCTGTAACCTTCTCACTAAGTTCCCTGGGCCTCCAAGCAGCGGTGTGGACCTTCATTCTGGCCAGATCAACTTTTTCTGCTGCTGGGGCTGAGGGCTTCAGGTATTTAGGGTTTTGGGGCTTGCTGTTTAAGGTTTAGGGAGTTCTTCAAGAACGACAATGCCTAAGTTGCTTAAATACATGTGAAGCTCATACTCTGCAGAGCCTTTCACCCTAATTTCAAAATGCCTTGACTCCGAAGCACAACCTGAACCCTAAACCTTCCGGACCTTCGAATATCCTTTAATTACGCAGTATTCCTGCAATCATATTCGGGATCCTGCTATAATTTAAGGGATTTTCTCCAACCCTAAACCCCAAACCCAACCCTGAACCCTAAACCTTCATAGACTTCATCCCCAAACTTCTCTTTGCTTTGGAAGGCCTCTCAGGGTGCGGTGCCATACCTCGCTGCACTGCAGGCGGGTTATTCTAGGTTCCTGAGTAGTACGGTTGATGATATAAATCCTGCATTACCTTAAGGACCCTAAACTATGGGAATTATGGTATATTTCCTATTATGGGTAATGCAGGATTTATATCATCAACCGTAGTACGGACAAGGGTACCTTGTTATCCAGGGGCTACCCAGAAAGTATTCTAGACGAGGGAAGGCATAGTCGGCAAAAGTCACATAAACGCTGCTTTTGGGACTCATGGGGCTTAGGGTCTAGAGGGTCAAAGGGGAAAAGGAGGGACCCTGAATGCTACCCTACAATGGGCTGTATAATGGGTATATAATAGCTATATTAAGGGTAATATTGGGGTTAGCTTATAGGATCCTAATTATATTTTTGGTTAAACCAAAGAAAGGAGCTACAATGGAGACTATAGGTGGAGCTCGACGCCCCAACCTCCACCCTTGCACCATATTTTGCACCTTCCCGGTACTCCTGCAGGTTTCCATGGGCCGGGTCGGTTGAACTACAGAGACATCTGCGAGTTTCCGAAAATTAGGGATACCTCATTTTGGGGTCCTTATAATAGGGATCCTACTATTTAAGATACTAATTAGGGTCCCCTATTTTCGGAAACTCCCATTTCGCTTCTGTCCAAATCACTACCCTGACAGGAGCCCGGAGCCGAGGCCATTAAATCTTCAATGTAGGGGCCTTGACAATTCGACCCAGGTTGCTGGACATAGGTTCATAAAGCGGAACCCTGAGGAGATGTTCGGTTCGGGCTTTATAAGATTCTAGGTTGTAGGAAGCCGGAACTTCGGATTTTGAACAATTCGCCTCCTCACCTCCCCACATTGTACGCCCTACAAAAGTCGAAAGACGTACGTCGCTGCTTCGATTCTTAGCCTTCAGCGTTCTAACAGGTACTCTTTGGTGCTGCTTATACAATCTCCCTAAGCCCTAAAGCCTAGACTCTGAAGCCCTGTAACTACGACAGTCTGGAACCGTTTTGGCTTCATCAGATCACCAGAAACCTTACACCACACGGTCTAACCCTAAGCCCTAAGTCCTACATGTCCTTTAAAGGGGCTGCTACATGGGCATTTTCATTCCTAAGTATATACTATATAGCTACATGTACCTTAACATAGCCTCCCTAAGCCCCAACTAACACCGAAGCCCTAAACCCTCATCCTAAGGCCTGTGCACTAGCCTGCAATTAGGAACGCAACCCCGAGTCCCCCCTAAACCCCTAAACCGCTCAACCCAAAACCCTTGAACCCTAAACCCCCAAGCCCCCTAAACCCTAAGTCCCCAATGCCTTCTAGACCTGAAAACACAGAAAATCCTGAGCCCTGAGCCCTAAACTCCCTATACTAAACCCTTAGTAACCCATATAGACCCCTTTAAAGGCCCCCTGTCCTCCTAGACCTTCAAAACCACCGAGAAAAAGCGCAAAAACCAGGCCATGGCTGAGAGGATTCGAAAGCAGGAGACCGAAAAGTTGGCGCACAAGCTGAAGGCTGGCTTCAGGGTTCAGGGTTTTAGGGTTTAGGGTTTTAGGGTGTAGGAGTTTAGGCGGTTTAGGGTTTCAGGGATTAGGGTTAACTAAGGTTTAGGGTTCAGGGCTTTGGTTTTAGGCTTTGGGGCTTAGGTCTCAGGGCTTTAGTTTCAGTGTTTAGGGATTTGAGTTTAGGGTTCCCTTTGATGGTGCAGTCTGGGTTCCTTGATTAAGGTCCCTACTTGGAGGATCATGGGACTTAGTAAGTAAGGTTATAAGTACCTTAATTGGGGTTATAAGTATAATTACCCCAATTATAACCCTAGTTACTAAGTCCCATGATCCTTTAAGTATAAGAAGCTCATGGCTCCGAGGAGGGTTCGATTGAGGTTTTGGTTTTTGGGCTTGGAGATTAACGATTTAGGGCTTGGCGTTCAATTGAGGTTTAGGGTTTATGGGTTTAGGGTCTAGGGTTCGGAAGTTAGAGTGGGGTTTCGGGTTTAGGGTTCGATTCAGATTTAGGGTGCAGGATTTGGGGTTAGATTTAGGTTCAAGGACTTAGGATATTTAGGGATAAAGGTTTAGGGTGTAGGGGTTATGGTTCGATTATGGTTTGGGGTTTCGGGTTCTGGGCTTCCTTAAGGGATGATGTTAGCTTTCCGCTTAGGGGTTGCTTTTGGGGGTTCCTTTTAGTGATCGTGAGAGGCCTTCTTTTTTGAAGGTTTGGAGTTAGGGTTCCTTTAAAGGGATTGTTTATCCTTCAGGGATTGTAAGGTTTCTACAGGAGTAGCGTGCAGGGGCGTTGAGGGGGATGGGTTTCATTCGGTTCTCATAGATGGTTTCTAGGGTTCTGTTGAATTATACATTTTAAATTGGAAGAACTGGCAATACTACCCCCCTATAGTCCCTGTATATAGTATGCTATATTGGACCCAAACGCCTTATTGCAATTAACAAGGCCCTACATTGGGCTTCATGCTCCATGCAGACCCTTAGAGTTCCGGCCTTTTTGTTTGAGCCCCGGTATCTCATGCAGTGGTCATGAGTAGTTTTCGATTTGGGGGGTTGTGAGAGTGACGAATTTCCCTCGGAGTGTAGGGTCTCTGGGGGTTTAGGGTGTGAGGCGCTTCAGGTCAAGTGTTTATGGCATTCAAGATCAAAAAAAGGAACGTTGGCCCTAACCCACTAGCCCCTAGGCCCTAAGCCCCTGAATCCAAAACTTGTGTTTCGAGCATGCTTAGTCTTACTGATATTTTTTGTTTAGCTGTCATCGAGATCACGGGATTGGACAGGGAGCTGCTGGCCCCGCCGACTGCAGTCGTCCGAAGCACTGGACGTCGTTGAGCCCGTGCTCCTTTCGTTCCTGTTCAAACTCCAGAAGCCAAGACAAGAGGCCAACATGCCACTTGTTGACAGCTTTCTCGCATTTCGCGAGACTTTTACCGCAAGCTTGCAGCAGGATTGCGCACCAAAATCTTGGAAAGGAGACGGGCACTCTTTCGCTGGACAGAAGGCGAACCTGGCTGTTTCAGTTGTTTTGCCCAGACCAGCTTGACATTTGACAGTCATTTGACATTGTTTCAAGGGCTGAAAGAAGCTTCAGCGACAAGTAATTACGCCTTTGCTGAAGCCTCTGCGTCGTGAAGCATTCCCTAGACGGCTTCTTCTCGTAGGATCGGCTGAGGGCCGCAGCCGCCTGCCTGGAACTGTGGTTGGACAGGTGACAATAGTTCAATAGGGATCAGAATAATCACTCGGTAATATACCGCTACAGTATTGTTTCCGGTGCAATTCTCGCAAAACCTACACCAAAAACACCATTCAAACTAGTGGGCTCTATTCTTCGGGTTTTAGGTGCCTCGGGGTGGGGAAGTGCTATCGGGCTTCCAGGTTGAGGTTCTCACTTGACTCATGCCCTTAAGCCCTATAAACCCTACCATGCAGGTTCCTTCCAAATTAAGGCCACATGTAAGGATTTAGGAGTTTTGTTCTTACGGAATGGCTTCGGGTTTCACATTTCATAAGGTTGATGCAGTGTTCTCGGGGCTCGCGCTGGGGGTCGGGGTGCTTTAGGAGTCACATTTTGTTATGTAGAATCCCATTTACAGTCTGTTTGTAAAGACGTAGACTATACCCCAAAGCCCTATTCTATGTGGTAAGGCCCCTACAGTATTACCCTGGTCTCCGTACCCATGCCAGTAGCTCTCACGTGGTTGCCAGGGCATCAACGAGAAGGAAAGAGAAGCAGTCGAAAAGCTGACACGTCACATTGCTTGGGGCTGAGATTTCGAAGTGCGAGCGGGTATTGGTTAGGGTTTCGGGTTTAGGGGTTTAGGGTTTAGGGTTGAGGGTTTAGGTGTTTAGGTGTTTAGGGTTTAGGGTTTAGGGTTAGGGTTTCGGGTTTAGGGCTTCAGCATGCTCCGAGGAAAACTGAGACGGAGCATACAGACATGCATGCACACACACACACAAACCACACACAGAAACACATCCTGTTGGACCATAGCACGATCTGCAAATGAATAGCACCCATATGGGCCTCATAGGGACCCTTATGCTAAGGACCTTCGAGTCCATCTTCGGGTGCTTACGACAAAGACCTTCTGTTAGATTCCATATCGGTTTAGGGTTCAGGGTTTAGGGTCTAGGGTCATTAATCGTCTGAAATCCCCGTCTCTTGGCCGATATGACAAATTTGAGAAGCTAGACGAATGATGACACCACCGGCAGAGGGTGTGTTCCACATTTGAGCGTATGTTCCCAGAAAGACAACCCCTATACAAACCAAAGACATTCAAATGAGCCGAATGAAGCCCCATAACTTAGGGACCCAAAAAGCACATAAGCATAAGCATTTTACCGGGATATCCTTTCCTTTTTTTGACTCTAAGCTGCTTATTCTAAGCTTCTCAAACCTATATTCAGGACTGAGGGGGCTTGCTCATGAACTCTGAGCCCCTTAATCCCAAGCCCTAATACCCTGCACCCTGAAACCTACAGACATGGAATTCAATGCCCTGTGAGCCCACAACAAGCAAACTTTAAACCCTAAAGCCCTAAACCCTAAACCCAAACCCCTTACCCGAAAGCCTAAACCCCTAAACCCTAAACCCCCCAAACCCAAAACCTTAAACCCAAAACCCTTACCCGGAAGCCTGAATGCTTCTGTTGCTCTGATGATCCGAGGTGGATCAGATCTTCCGGCCCATTTACTACTCCATGAAGGACTGCTTCTGGGGGGTTGTATTTTGATATTGGCGTTGTTCTGGGATTGTAGGTGTCATGTGACTTCTGCTTTAGATTTGTAGCCTTCCAGGGTTTAGTGTGTAGTGGCTAGGATTTTGAGGGTTGAGGGATCAAGGGTTCAGGGTTTCAAAGTTTAGGTTGCGTTTGGCGTTGTTTGTGTCGGCCTTATCATCTCGACGGAGGAGCTGTGTTTAAGCGTCTGCGGTGAAAGACCCTCATGTAGGAACCTGGTTAAGAAACCCTGGGCCTATAACCCCCCAAATAGTAGGATTCATATACAGAACCCTAATAAAGGCCCAGGGTTCCTTAATCAGATTCCAACATTACTCTGGGTTCCTTTCAAGGAGTCTGACTTTAGATTACTTACCATCATGTTGATCTATAGTAAATCATATGGTTTCTTTCTTGTGTAACTTAAATTAAATCCCTAACGTAAAAAGAACCCGGTAGACCCTCTTGCTGTACCTGTTTAGGGTGTAATTAGGACTGCTACACAGACCAGAAATGCCGGTGTCGGCATCCAAGGGTGAAGCCCAGTCGGCGTCGCATAGCGTTGCCATCCTGACCAACAGGCAATGTAGAATCTTGAATACGTACTATACACTTCCCTAAGCTCTCCTATGGTGCTTAGACCATAAATTGATTATGAAGCCGGGCACGACATTTGCACATTGTCGCCCAAGCTCCAGATCGCAGGAGTTGTTCGTACGTTGATGGGGCCTGACTAGTCAATTCGACTGGGCGGGTTGTGCTGTTTCGTGGGGTTTTGCAGGTGAGGGGGCAGCTTGCAGTCTATGTTAGAGCGAAGTTGAATGATGCGGCATTTCGAGAACATCAGCTTAAACATAGATTAATGCGCAGTGGCTTTGTAAGCAGGAAGATGAAGCGATGGAGGAGAAGAAGGACAAGATTTGGGCTCTCAAGAACATGCCTGAAGCCCAGAGGACAAGATATTTCGCCGACATGACGCTAATCCCTGGCCTTAGACCTAAACCCCAAGTGTTCGGAGGGTTTCGCGCACTAGGAGTTACGTGCTCTAGGCTTAGGTCTCCGGAGGTGAGCGGCCACAGCTTTTTCGGGCTTCAGGGTGTAACTATTCCGTTTGGATTGCAGTGCCGGTGCTTAGATTTCAGTGTCTCTACCTTCGAATGCTTTGGTGCGTGTTGTCGTGGGTTTAGGGTATTATAGGCTTTTTCGGCTTGGGTTTACAGGCCTTATAGGGTTTCGGGTTTAGGGTCTAGGGCGAGGGCCGCGTTGATTTTGTTGCTGGGTCTTGGTGGGGTTCCGACTAGGTAGGGGTCGAAGCTTCAGAATCAAGTCCCTAACGATTTGAGACCCGAATTTAACCCAATTACCCTGTTATTCTAACTTTTTACGGACATCTATAATATACATCATTGAACCCAGATTCCTCGCGGTCATTTCCTGGTTCTGGACCCCATTTGCAAGGAACCCTTATCTACCCTACTTTCGCTGCAAGGCCCTCCTTTTTAGTAGCTTTTCAATGGCAGGCGTATACTTTCGCCAACAGCGTGGACCCGCACGGCATCCGAACTCGGAATGCGAAAGAAAGCAAGGCTTTAATGTGAAGGACACCCGAAGATGTGAAGCCCTGAGAACCAAACCTACCCTGAACCATAAACCCTTCAACCCTAAAGCCCTAAACTCCATGCCACCTACACTGAACCCTAAACCGTAAAGCGCTAAACCCCACACCGCTCTGCACTAACCCTACAGATCAAACTCGCCCAAAAGCCTGACATAGTATGGTCTTTGGGCCCAAAAGCCTTAATCTATGAGTCCTTAGATCCTTATTGTATTCCCGATAAAACCCAAAGCCCTAAACCCCTAAACTCTAACCCCCGAACCCTTAAAACCCTAGTTCTGAGGTTCAAGCTCGAGCCTGTCTACAAGCGAGGGCTGCTGACCGAGGCTGTCCGGTTGTTTCTGCACTGTTTTTGAGAGTTATATATATTAGGTATATGTATGTATATTTTCGTTTATATACATATATGTGTGTGTGTGTCTTGTGTTTTTGTTTATAATATGGCTTACAAGGGTTAGTAGCAACACTATGATTCTAATATGTTCGACTTAATGGGATTAATAAGTTTACTAATTTGATTCTGGTTCCAAGGGCGGCTAGGGTTTGGCATTTCACGTCTCACAAGGGGTCTTGCAGACTTCCATCATTTCATCAGGGTTTCACATGGGTTTTAGAAGGCGAGGGTTTTTTTGCACGTTGTTTGGAAGTGTTTTGGGAGAGTTGATCTAGGGGTTAAAGTGTAGGTTTATAGGGTTTGGGGTTAAACCTAAACCCTGAACCGTTTCAGAGGTTAGTGTGTGTGGGGTGTAAGCCGAGTGGGCAGGAGGAGTTCAGAGTAGCTTAGATGTACAGTCCTCCCTGAATGAAGTGTATTAGTAACCCTAAAACTCAAAGCCTCAACTGGTAGGGAGCTCATAATTACGTACGTAACCTCGAGACAGGTGCTGTTTTGAGTCGGGGGACTACATCAATTATTGCCCAAAGATTCGTACCGCTCGGGTCCTTATAGACGTATGCACACTAAAAGCATTGCTTGTCGGATGTATTGGATTCTGGGCCCTCACAGATCCACGCTTCGGTTGCAGCCTCAACCCAACTGTTCCCGCTGGCTGGCTTTGCCGCACACCCCGCTCCCCGAAATTCCAGCTGCTTTATGCTCGTCAGGGCAAGACCAAGGGGCAGCTGAATGCTTGAGTGCGGAAGTACGCTCGAATCTGGAAATGCACCAGTGCATGTGACATGGGGGTCTTCCGCCAGCAGCTGAAGACTAAGCTGCCGAAGTAATTGCAACCAGCGTTCCACTAGTCGTCATTGGCAGCACAAAGCGCCGAATCTGCTGTTGCGCAGCTTCCGGCGTCGTCTATCCCATATCTATCATACCCTTCAGTCTGGCACTTCGATCCATAGGTTTGGAGTGCATGACATTGTTGGCCAGTCGTCCTTGCCTCTTAAGGTGGGCGGCTTTACACGATGCGACGGACGTAGTCGCCTTGAGTAATCATCTCTTCTGTCCATGGATGAGGGTGTTCAACATGACGTGGGCCGAGAGGGTTCCGCAGCGGTTGGCGATAGACCTAGTGGGTGGTGTCTGTCGTGTGGTGCATCACTTTCAACACGACCGTTGTCGTAATCATCATCAGGATCATCATCATGTTGTTGTTGAAGTCTTTGCAAATCTGCCCCTCCATGGGAGAGCCACCAGACACATGGTGACCCATGGCAGCAACGAAGGGTCACCAAAGGAAGACCGAACCATGACATGAGCTGGTTGGACATCATAGTTCGACATGTCGCGATAGGTTGTCGAGACTTTGGAGGATTGAACGAACCTCGAGCAGGGACCGGGCATCTGTGTTGGCTGTGCCTTCTGGCATGGCCGGGGTTTCAGGATGTGTGTTAGGCAGAGGCACTACCAGAAACAAGGGTAGTATAATGCGTCGGCCAGCCCGCAATCCCCCACTTTCTAGACCCTTTTGGGAGGTTCGTTCGGTCCTTATGCAATCGTTTGCAGTTTACCACAGCTCGACTTTTTGAATGAACATACCTCGAAAGAGGTTTTGAGGGAGAGTGCCGTTTGCTGGTCGCAGAATCAGTGACCTTGAAAACGGCCTCTCTGGAAACAGCGTCCTGAGCCATTAGCTGTGAGGCCCCAGCATTCCTGCAGGCGCACTGTAGGCAGCAAACAGCAGTGCTTGTCGCCATGGAATTCGAGTCGAAATCTACAACCTCAGATCAACAATCTAAGTCTAGTGTCGGTTGCTGTACGGCTAATGAAGGTCCACGCCCTACGACCCACATGAGCGCAGATCCCAGACCCGGCACCCGGCAGGGCTTGCGGTCTAAAACGGTAGCCATTCGGCATTGCAATGCTTACATGCATAGGAAAACTTATATGCTACATGCATGCATGAATACGCTAACCTCAAACCCGAAACCTAATGTATCATGCCATAGAAAGCCCAAAACCCTTCACCCACCTCAATAGTCTATGACTGTACTAGACAAGTCAAGTTGCCAGCTCGAGCGTCTGCAGACACCACAGCGTCCGAGCTCTCCCACGACGAGAAGCTTTCTTAGTAGTCAGTAGGTCACAAGCTTCGGGGTTCAGGTTTCAGAGCACTTTAAGGTGTGAACTCTCACAGGGGAGTTTCCGAAAATAGGGGACCCTACTATATAGTATGTATCCGAAACAGTAGGATCTCTATTCTAAGGACCCCAAAAGAAGGTACCCCTAATTCTCGGAAACTCCAAACCCCAAACCCTAAACCCTTTATAGAACCCTTATCGATCCCTTTAAGCAGCCCTTATAGATCCCGTTAAAGCTACCCCTAGAATCCCGGGATGGTCCATTGGGGTTTCGAAGTGTTTCGGTTGTAGCGGGGAAGTTCGTAATTATGCTACCCCTGAGACACTGGACCAACAAGCCTGTGACAGGAAGAATTACCTATGCATTTTTTTTGGCGGGGTCCTTATTTTAACTATAGTATAGTATATTGGGCTCCAAAACCCTTATTCTAATTATTAAGGCTCCTACTGAATCGTGAGGACTAGGTGCTCAAGTGCTTTAAGTAGGGCCTGGCCTGAGTTGAATTTACACATTGTCTCCATTGTGCCATTGTTGCTTTTGCGGGTTACCTTTTCGGATCCCAAGGACAAACCTGGTTAAATCAAAGAAGGAGCTCCAATGCAGACTATAGGTAGAACTGGGAGATATTTTTTCTTCTGCGGTTTCGCGTCAGGTGAGTTTATGGGGTTCGGACTGGCGGCGGTTGTGAGACATAGGGTTAAGGGTTTCGGATTTTGGGGGTTTAGGGTCCAGAGGGTAAGGGTCAAGGGTTTGGAGGAGCATGACAGCATTCGCTGGTCCTTGGACAGGCTTTTTGGGGGCCAAGGGGGCACTGTCATCCTGGTATTTAAAGTCCATGTTGGGGTCGTATTTGTTGTCCACACATCCATGCACGCAATCGGACTACCGAACGCGCAGAGCCACCTCCCTGCAAAAATCAGAGAAGATCAGACACAGACGCACCGATGCGTAAACCCGAACGAATCCCCTTACGTCCCAAGCTCCAAACTCCCGAAGTACTAAGACTCTAAACTCCTAATGTAATTAGGAATCTGATTAAGAAGCCCTAAGCCCCTAAGCCTATAACCTAAAATCGTAGGGTTCATACAAGGAGCCCTGCGTTTCCTCATCAGGTTTCCACAGTAAATTCCCAACTCTTACATTCGCCCTCAAGGCCTACAACCCCGATCTTAAGGGGTGTCCGAAACCTCCTGCATGGGGGTTTGGTTACGGAAAGCAGGATAGTAAAGCCTTCAGCCTCAATCCCTCCTACATGGTTTCGTGATTGTTTAAGGGTGTAGGGTTTAAGGGTTTTGGGGTTCATAAGGTTCCAGTTTCTTCGGTCAATAAGAAGGTCCTTGACATCACAGATGTTATTGTATGTAGATGGCTTTCAGATCATGAGGATAGCCCTTTCATGGGAGAGCCGTGGCGCTCTGACTTCTCCGACCTCGAAGGCATTGTCTGCCAAAGGTCCCGCTGCACCCTGCAAAAAGGCGACGATAGGATTGGTTGTTTTGCGTGCAGGGCTTTGGGTTTCGGGGTTTAACGCTGCGGAAGTAGAGTTGTGTTCTGGCTGCGTCGGTGTTGCTTGTGGGCTTCCCTGCCATGTCACAGGGATCTTTGTTCTTCTGAACAATAGATAGAATATTTGGGTGCTTTGGGGTTAACAAAAGTCACATATAGTCATTCAAAAAACGCGTCCGCTACTCCACACGGTGCTTGGGCTTGTTTCGATCGGGAGATGGATCACGAAGTGTACGATCTTTCCAGAAGGGTTTCAGCTGCTACGTACTGCAGTAAGGCTTTAAGCGTTTTGGCGGATACTATATCTTGAGTCAGTTCCAATGCATGATCGTGCTGCGGATCTGTTGGAGGGGTATCTGGCATATAGTTCCTAATTGTCTATCTACTCATAATTAGGCCCCATAGTAGTTACAATTACCTTATAGGGTTCTACATAAAAACATTAAAAAAATAATTCTCAACCCCAAAGCCTAAACATTTAAAACATTTTCCCAACCCCAAAGCCTAAACATTAGAAAACAAACAAGTTCTCAACCCCAAAGCCTAAACATTGAAAAAGGAATCCCAACCCATAGCCTAAACATGAAATGCTAACCCCTCAACCCTCAAACCATTCCTAAACCAGTCACTGTTAAGCTCTCAACCGAAACCCCTCAAGATGCAACCCTCAAAGTCCTAGACTCCTAAGCCCCTCAACCCTAAGCCCTAAATCCCTAAACCCCAAACCCCTAAACCCCTCAACCCTAAGCCCCTAACCCTAACCCCTAAACCCCCCAACCCCTAAACTCATCAACCCTTAAGTTTAAGTTGTAGGGCATACCAAGGCTCGAGACCCAAGGACCCCGAGCCCCCCACTCATCGCTTCAACAACGGGTTACTGGGTTTTTGATATTCCATGGTTGCTGAACTTATGACCCATAGGCCCCATAGTAGCTCCTTTTGGGGGGTTCATAATACGTAGGATCCTAAAAGGCAATCCCAAAAAGGAACTACTCTGGTTGTTAGCTTCTTTGAATTGAATCCTTATGGCCCCTTAATAGTGGGTACTTGGTGTATATTAGAGGGTAGTTGGGGGATCTAGGTTATTGCCTATTACTTAGGTAACTGGATGTCTAGCGAAGGGTAATATGATGGTTCCAACTCGATCATCACCCCTAAACCCTGCGGTTCATGATATAAATCCTGCATGACCTGAATGGCCCTAGACTATGGGAATTTTTGGTGGATTCCTTATAATTGGTAATGCAGGATTTCTATCATAAACCCTATCACGCCTTGCAAGCAACTTAGAGCCTGGCTTGATGCCGGCTATCCAGCGTCTGTCGGTTCAGCAGCACGCCCTCTGTAGGGTCTATGTAGGGTTTACGGGTTCAGGGCTAAAGGTTTTTAGGTTAGTTGGTTTTGTTCAGGGCTTATCAACGCGCCGCTAAGAGGGGCGCAACAAAGGGGGGCATAAGCTGCCAAAGCCAACTGGACTCAAAGTTTAAAGGTTGTCTTTGGGTGCTACGGTTGATGATATAAATCCTGCACTACCTCAAGGACCCTAAACTATGGGAATTATGGTATATTCCTGATTATGGGTAATGCAGGATTCATATCATCAACCGTAAGGGTGTGGAGTGATCCACAGTGAGGAGCCGAGATTTCGACTCCAGTCTGCAGCTCTCCTTAGCTCAACTACTTCCCTCCTTCCTACCGAACCCTAAAGCCCTAAAGCCCCAAAGACCTAAGCCCTAAACCCTAATAAACCCTAAAGTCTAAACCCTAAAGCCCTATAGATCCCTTAAAGGAGCTCTTGAAGGAACTCTTAAAGGGACCCTATCATAGAACACTTAAAGGATTCTAACGAAAGGCCACCAGCCCTCAGTCGGCAGCACGGTGTAGGGCTTAGGGCGAAACAAGACCCCACAGAATAGCCCGAGACATGCCATGTGGGCCGCCCGTGCCACGTTCTTGGCCACGGTTTCTTGGCGGAGCGTCCTGAAACATTGTAAGATGAGACCCTATCAATCCCCAACCCTATCCCCTAAACCCCAAACCCCAAATGTTAAATCCTATCCCTTAAACCCTAAACCCTACCAACCTCGACCTCCCAACTACCCGCTAATATACCCCAAATGCCCATTATTAAGGGCCATACTGCTCATGGACAAAAACCTGCATGACCCTAAGGACTCTAAACTATGGCAACTATGGTACCTTCCTTATAATGGGCAATGCAGGATTTTGTCCATCAGCAGTAAAGACTCCATTAAAGGACCCTTGGGGGGTCCTGGTAATACACTGAAACTTCTCGGACTGGGTCTCCGCTACATTTGTTGTGCACATATGGGTGGTTGTCAAAATAGGGTACCCCAAAAGGGACCTTAATTTTGACAACTACCCATATGTTTATATTTGAAAAGCAAAATGTAGCTATATACGCATATCAAATACACATGCATGCATGCATGTGTGCATGCATGCATGCATGCACATATTGACACCGCCTGTCGATTCTGTTTGCAAGGTTCGGCTTGGAAAGACTTTGTAAACCATGAGCAAAGTCTGCAACATGAGCAGCAGTATGTTGACGTCGCCCGCGTCAGAACTAATTCAATCCAAACGAGATCATGCCGGTTCTAGATCCACAAACCCGGTCCCATATAGTGCAAATGACATCGAGTACAGCAAGGAGGTTCAATGGCAAATTCAGAGGTCATCATCAAGGTTGCGCATGTTCGGTGACTTTGGGTCGGGCAGCTACGTCTTGACTGAGAAGTGACTGCCCCACAGGTGCGGAAATGCTGGGGAACTGTCTGAGTCGTTCGACCCACCCAAACTGCAGATTCTGACTGAGTTCCAGAGCAGCCCTTTCTTGCTGAGTGCATCGAACTTATCAACCTTGGAGCCACGTAAAGGTCACCAACAACGAGCAAGACTTTCGAAAATCCGAGAAGTTCTTGTAAAGCTTCCGGCTGGCCCGGAAGATAGGGCTGTTCATCAACACCCAGGGTAGCACGAACGGTAAGGTTGGGGGTGTGGATCTATGCACCGTACTAATTAGTTTTGATACAGACTTCAACTTTCTGTCCGAAGGGCTCCAACAAGGGACACATTCGAGATCGCGCACGTTTGGTTTTACGGTTTTGTAGTCGGGTTTAAAGGTTGTTCGAGGTTTAGGGGTTGTTGCTTTGGGGTGTTGGAGGCTTAGGGGCTGAAGGCTTGGAAGTGTTTTTGGGATTTGATTAGGGCCCACAGCTGTCGGACTTCTCTCGGTTCTTTCTCGGTTCAATGCTTCCGGTTTGGGTGCAGCAACTGACCTTTGATTTTGACATGTGCTGTATGAAGACAGACGAAGCGATTAACGTCCTACTCTTGCCAAGCACAACTGCATGACACAATCCTTGCTGCAGCTTCTGGTGAGCGTAACATCCACGCACACTTATTCGCATGCAGGACCTTTTGCAAGAGAGCTCGGAACACGTCAACGCCTGATTGCTGATTTGCTCCTTGCTCACCCTGCGAATACAGCACTATATCAACACGATCGCAAACTAAAAATGATGCAACGCCAAGCGGCCAAACCCAAGCTGCTTACGCATCTTCCACTCATTCCGCGTCCACCAGCTGACTGGTAGAGGTTAATGTGTTCATGAGTTGTATGTCCAGTACTCTTGTCGCCAAGCTCTTGTACTCGCATATGCTGCGCACAAGCGTGAACCAGTAACTATGCAAATCTGGCGGCGACATACAAGTTCTGACACTTCCGCAGTGTTTCGCCGGCTCCTGCTCTGTGATTCGGGTCTCACTTGCACGCCTTGTTTCGGTATGTATGGGATGTACTTTCCCCTGTTTCTGGCTTTTGGCTTCTTGTGTGTTTTCTTCGGTACAGAGGAGGGCATGGATTCCACGTCGAGGCGAGGGAAGGACGATACATGGGCCGGTATGCAGCCTTGTTTTTGGGCAGTTTTAGATCTTACATGGAGTCTAAGCACAGGGTGTAGGGTTGCAACCACTCATGCATCAAGTTTGAACATCCTTGCCCGACGGTTGTGTTTGCTGCATCGAGCGTTGAATTATGCCGGAAGTTGTCTGCCTTTGCAAGGTTGTGCGCCTGGGATGTGGCTTCCAACCCAAGGCAGCAATTTGCAAATCGGTCCAGCTCCTGTACTTTATGTAGTGCTGTATCCAGGCTTGTTCGAAGGCTGAGGTCCGGGCGCTCCATCAACGCAGTTACAGATGGCAGATAAAGTAGATTGTGGCTAATTGCAGCCACACACTGTTTACTAACAAGTAGAACAACCGATGTCTGCTTAGTAAGCCCTGTCCCTTTTTCGCTTGAAAGCATGTTGAATGCAGGGTAGTGCGATTTGCGAACGGTCTAATCATCTAATCATATCTAACCTATCGCTCGAAAAAGTTTGCATAAAGCACATGACTGTATGGTCCCCGAAATACAAGGGTCCAATCTTCTGGGTACAGAGAAGATATTGTAAGGCTTTGGGTGCAAAGATGGGGATATGATGAGGAAAGATTCATATTAGTAGGCTTTCTAGTGAGTGTAATTAGGACTCCTTCGAATGCAATAGTTGCGGCAGATTAAGAATTGTGGCAGAGACTGTTCGTCGACCTTGTTTCGAATGCCCAGAGCTCACGGCTAAAAGAAAAAACATACTTCCCGAATGAAAGAAACATACTTCCCGAACAAACCAAACCTTCAACCCGGAACCTGATCGTGAAATTAACGTAAAATCTCAACCCCAAGCCCCTATACCCAAAGCCTCACACCTGCCGTTTATTGGCAGGAGTCGGGGCACTGCCTTCATTGGACCCAGGAGGCCTCCTGTACTGTTTCGTTTAGAACTCAGAATCCCATACTGCCGGTTCTATACGACAAGCAATGTTTCGATTCTAGAGTGATGTATTGGTTCCAGAAGCGGTTTAAGGTTACAATCGACGAATGCATATGGGTCTGTGAGAAGCATCATTCTTGAAATTGAGAGTTGTGTCCGGGCTGGATGGGCTTTGCAGGGGTTGGGAGTGCGCACGTTGGGGTTCTCGGTGCAGGGTTCAGAATTCAAAAATTGCACGCCACCCCAAGCAAGAGACTTGGACCCTGAAACAGAGAAGAGCCGTTTTAGAGTATAGAGCCCGTGTCGAACCCTAAATGTAGCGCTGTCAGGTGCTCCCGTCCAAAGTGCCATGTCACGGCATGCGAGTGAAAAACAACGTTGGGGTTGGTTTGGGATTCTTGCAAGGGTCCTTTTTACAGTTTTTTGTGGCTAGGGTTCCTTTCAGAGAAATCCTGTCAGGTTCCTCCAAGTGTTGTTTTTGAGAAAGCCTCTCAGAGAGCCTTTTCGGGTGTATTTGAGGATACTTTAACATAAGGGTTCCTTTGAAGTGTTCTTTAAGGGTTTAGGGTCTGGGGCAGACCCTTGTTTGACTTACGAAAGGCCTGGGCGCCTGCCTGTCAAGGGGCTTGCGGTTAATCCCAGAGTAGCACAAACCTTCTAGGGCTTAAGGTTTATACCTTAACCCCGAAGAACCTGTATATTTAAGGACATATACAAAGAAATCATATTAATGAACCACAAAAAGGTTGGTTATTCATGGTTAAGGTGGGGCTGAATCTAGGGAAGCCTGAGGGTCTGGCCATTAAAGCAATCCCGGAAGGCCGAACCTTGACCAAAACTGCTTAGAGGCCCCGGGCGCTTTATTCAGGATACTTGTAACTATACGTGTAGTCGACTTACTAAACCCTATACAGTGAAGCCCTGAACGCAGTACCTAAACCGTCAATCCTAAACCCTAATCCTAGGGATCAAAATAGCCCAAAAGCCTTAGAAAGTGTGGTCTTTGGGCCCAAAAGCCTCAATATATGAGTCCTTAGATCCCTAAGCCCTAAACCCTTTCCCCCAAGCCCTGAACCCAAGACCTAAGCCGTAACCCATCTACCCTGAACCCGTAGACTGAACTCAATACATAAGTTGTAAGCCCTATCCCCAAGGGTCCAAAGGACCCAATAATTAGGGTTCCTTTAAAGGGTTCTATAAGGTTCTTTTAAAAGGGCTACTCTAAGGCTTCTATTATATGGGCCTTAATAATTAGGTACTCGGTTTTAGGAGAGTAGTTATGTAGGTTAGGATTTTGGAGAGTATATGATTATTAGGTACTTGGACCCTCGGGGTAAGCCCTATATCTGTAGCCGAAAAGACCTACCTTTTGGGGATTCCTGATTATGGTTTCTATATATATATAGTAATATAGTTCCTCAAGAAGGTAGGTCTTTCTTGGGCCACAGGAGACCTTAAACTCTAAACCCTAAGCCCTAAACTTTACAAACCCTAAAGCCCTTAACCGCTCTAAACCCTACCCTTAACCACTATAAACCCTAATCCGCATAAAATCATCCCTGCAGGTGCCCGAAGCCAGGATCGGCGTGGAAGTTGCGGGAAGCATCGAGGCCGCCTGACCTGTAGCCGAAAAGGCCCACCGGTTTTAGGGCTCCTTATTGTGGTTTCTATATATATATATATATGTGTATATATATATGTGTGTATAGCTGTATATATATATATATATATATATATATATATATAGCTCTTGAAAAAGGTGGGTCTGTTCGGCTACAGGTAGGGGCTTTCATTGGGGTTTCAGTGTTTTTTAAGGGTTTACTGTAGGGATTAGGGTTCAATGAGTTTCAGGGTTTAGGGGTTAAGCGCTTCGGGTTTAGGGTATGAGGGTTAAGGGCTTATAGGGCTGCTTCTAGGGTCTAAGACTGGTTTTAGGGGTTTAGGGTTTAGGGCTTACAGGGCTGATTCTAGGGTCTAAGACTGGTTTTGAGGGTTTAGGTTCAGGGGTTAAGGGCTGTTTATAGTGCTGATTCTAGGGTCTAAGACTTGTGTTTCGGGTCTAGGGGGCTGCTGCTTGGTGGGTGCCTGCAGGGCTTGGACTCCTGGCTTCCTCCTATTGCCTTTCGAGGGTTTAAGACCAGTTTAGGGGTTCAGGTTTCGGGTTTCGGTTCAGGAGTAAACGAGGCCGCTTTGGCCTCGGTAACCCAAGTCTTCTAAGTTAAGGGGTTATTGTTGACAGGCCCCAACATTCAGTTCCCTTTAGGCCCCTGCAACCTAAGTCTATAACCATATTTATCGTGGTCCATTGCGATGTGCGACTTGCTCCAAATCATGTCTCGTTCTGGGTCTCTTAGTACTGTTCCTTCAGAAATGTGCCGCAATCAATAAACTTCAGCCGAGCTGTTGTACATGTCGGCCGGCTTATTAACATATGGGTTTCTTTCATGACGGCGGAAGTGTGCCCAAGTTGCCATATTGCGATGTTAGCGCCGAGAGTCTTAAACTCAACCCTAAACCCTGAACTCTATATTATAAACCCTAAACGACCTAGAGCCCTAAATTGCAAAGCCCGCGAGCAGTTCTCAGGCAGCCGCTGTCAGCGCGCCACTGCTCTGCCGTGGAGTGAAGTCCCGAGTTCGGGTTGAGGGGGACCAGCTTTTCCCAACAGCCCATGCACCTAAACATTCATACCGCTTAAATAAACAGCAACAGTGTTTGAATGGTCTGTATTGTGATCAGAATACTGGGTACAGGACTCAGTGTGTAGTGTAGTGCTTGAGCGGTTCTTGTACGCTGCTTTGAAAGGATCGCGCCACCACCTTTCTCTCTCAGGCTCTCAGCTTGCCCCTAAGACTCCATGTACCCATATAGTAGGTACTTAGCCCTTAAAGGGGTCCCTATATGGGTACTTTAAGGCCTAAGTACCTACTATATGGGTACATGGAGCCTTTGGGTTCGTGACTCCTCCATCGGAAGCCCAGACTACGAGCCGGTTTGGAGTTCGGAGCCTCCAATGGAGGGGCCAATCCGGATCCGATGTCGTAAACCGCAGCCGCACAACATCGAAACCCCACAACTTCCAACATTCCCCAGTCCTTGCCCCGATAGCAACCGCATCAACACCAACAACCACCACAACACACCAACACCACCCAACAACGATGACGACGACAGTACCAGCAGCAGCAACAACAGCAACAACAACGACAACTCACATCGGCAACATATAGTATAATATAGCCAGCACCAAAACACGATAATGTGTGTGTACTTGTATGTATGTATGTATGTATGTACATGCGTACGCATGTATGTATGTATGCGTATATGTGTGTTTGCTTGTTTGTGGTGCAGCTATGTAGGCAAATATGTATGCATGTATGTATGCATATGTGTGTATGTAATTACCTATGTATGTAATGTGTGCAATGATTGCGCGTGTTTGTGTGTTTGCTTGTTTGTTTGTTTGTGCGTTTGTGTGTTTGTTTGTGTGTTTGTTTGTGTTTTTGTGTGTTGTTTCCGTTCTTTGTTTGTTGGCAGGTAAGTAAGTATGTATGTATGTCTGGATGTGTACGTACATATGTAGGTGGTTATGTATTTAGGCAGGTAGGTATGTAGTGTTGTAGGTTTGTGGGTTTGTAGGTATGTAGGTGTGGAGGGTGTGTAGGTGTGCAGGTGCGTATGTGTGTATGTGGGTATGTGTGTATTTGTATGTGTGTGCATTTGGATATGCATACGTATACCTATACATCGACCGGTTATGCATGTATATGTGTATGTATAATGTATATATAGATATACACACCCACACATGTGTGTATATATATATATATATATATATGTATGTATTATGTACATACATACATACATACATACATACATACATACATACATACACACATATATATATATATATATATATATATATATAGAAAGATGCACATCGAAATACAAAACCGACAACACCGTTAAGGCCTCCTTTGGTCCATCGCTTCGACGCATTGGCACGCGGAGCCGCCATCACAGCTGGGGCCCGGTTCCTGGCTGTTCCGGTGGAGGTTTCTGGGACGGGTCTTACGGATTTAGAGTTCAGGGTTTGGGTTAGGTACTGCCCCCATAAAGTAAGAGTTTATGATAGGGCTACTATTAAGGTCCTAATATATCTATATTATGAATATCATTCAACTGTTACTTACTGAGTGGGGGCCGTACCCAAGGTTTAGGCATTAGTTTGGGCTTTGCTCGGGTCTTCGGTTGAATGCAAGCTGATGATGAGGATGATGTGAATCATTCCAGTGCCTACTCAGATGGAAATTGGGTTTGAGGCAACATTGGAGGCAACGTGGCTTTATTCCAGGACGGATACATTCCAGATTATTATGTGATGGTGGGATTTCTGATGCTGTGAGTCCAGTTCCCACGGTCCGAACACGTTTCTCACATGCTGCTGCGTTTCGCTCCGCAGCTTCAGAACTCGAAATCCGCAGCTCCAGCTGCCGAAGTTACCTCCAGATAAACGACCTACCTTAATGAAGCCTTAATGCCTAAATCCTGGTACCAGTGTCCTAAGCATAGACGCCTGTGGAAACGACCTGAATACCCAAAAAAACCTAGTGTGAGTGTCCTGAGTATAGCGGTTTTTGGAGCTATTGCGTCCCTAAACCCTAAACCCCTAGACCCCAAAATCCTTAAATCCCTAAACCTCAATCCCTAAGCCCCTAAACCCTAAATCCCTAAGCCCCTAAACCCCTAAACCTCCAAATCCCTAAATCCCTTAGGGGAGAAGCTTGACCAGGCTTCACCGATCCAGAGGGACTGTGTCGTCATGCAGATGCCAGTGGTCAAGTCTCCGGTCACGTGGAAGCAATCCCTAAGGGTCCATGTACCCCAAATGGGGTTCCTTAAAGGGTTCCTTTAAAGGGTACCATATAGGGTTTAGGGAATGTTTCGGGGTCCTAAATTACTTCGGATTTATCTTGCGACGATGTGGCCTGAAAAGGTGACGGTCAAGAGTTTAAGGATGTGAGATTAGGATTTCAACAGGAGTGGTAGAGGAGTGCTTGAGGCCTTTTCATATCCCAGTAGCCCTTGGACGCATCTAATTCCCTTAAACCCTGGCAATGGTAAACATTACGTAAGCCACTTGCGCTACTAGATGATATTCAGGTTGTGGTCTTCAGGGTTGAGTCTTTTGGTGTTTGGGTTCTATTTCTTTTGTTGTTCTACGGTCGGTTCGCTGATGAAGCCTTGACACTTGCACCCCCAATCCTCAAGACAAGCTCTGCAAGAAGCAACCGCAGAGGCCTCCAAGCAAGCTGTGTCTCTAACACTGCAGATAGCCTGAAGTAGGAATAAACCCTAACCATCACGTGTACCTTGAGTCTTCCGGTATCGCATTGACAGCGCGATCCGACTTGTCAAGGTCCAGGACATATATGCAGTCTTTTCGGAAGCCAAAAGTTTAGGGCAGTATTCGGAGCATTGAGACTTAGCCTAATCCCAAAGTTCAAAACACTTAGCCTTGAACCCTGAACCTCCACAACACCCCTACAAACCTTCCGTTATGTATTCAATAGCATCCTCACTAATTCCCTGAACACTTCAAAAAGTCGTCTCACCTTTCACCCCTCACTTTCAAACCCTCCCCATGGGCCCCATAGTACTTCTTCTTTGGGATTTCCTTATAGGACTCTAAGTATGAACCCCAAAAAGGAACTACTATGGGGCCTGGCGGCCTATGGGCAAACCCGTCAACCCAGAGGCCGTAAGGTTTATATAAGTTCTCCCTTTAAGGGTACCTTTGAAGGGATCCTTTAAGGGTTCCTCTAAAGGGATCTATAAGGGTTCTATAAAGGGCTTAGGGTTTCGCATTTCCGAAAATTGGGGGGTATCTGTTGTTTTTGGGGAGGGCTAATAATAAGGATACTACTGTCTAGGGCACTCTTTTAGGATCCCCTATTCTCGGAAACTCCCACATGAAGTAAGGTTGTTATGGCTAGTAATCCCCTGGGTCGCACCCTAAGTAGGGCTTAAAGTCTGAGAGTTAAGGACTTATAGAATGAAATCATAATAAGCAGCCCTAAAGAGGAAGGTTTTATAGGGTCATACCCTACAGTACCCCTTTTTAAAGGTAACTAGTTTTATGGTTAGGTTCTCTTCATATAGAAAGGTAGGTACCTCAAAACATGGGCAGGGTATGACCCTCTAGGCAATTAAGGTCTATAGAAGCCCCAAAGATCCTCGCCGCTGGAATCTCCCAGGATCGGTTCTCTTCGCATCTCCCGCAGATGTTTGTGACGTTTGGTGGCGCGAGGTTTCAGAGGAGAGGTTCAGAGTTTTCGGGTTCGAACCCAGTGATCCCAATACGCCTTAATTCAGGAATATACCTTAAATCATAAATAATATTAGGGCCTCTATAATTTCAGGTATATTCCTTAATTAAGGGGCATTGGGTTCTCTGGGAAGATGGTTTTCCCCTAAGACTCCAAGTATACAAACAGTACCTACTTTGGGGTCTAAAGTCTATAAATGGTACATACTTTGGGCTATTTGGAGTCTTAGGGTTCGGGTTCGAAGATGAGGGCTTTTAGGGCCTTCTTAGGGCATTTAAGAACTTCTACTGTATGGGGGGTTTAGGGTTTGTGGGGGTTCAAAGCTTTGGGGTTCAAAACTTCGTTCTTAAAGCTCAGGTTTGCAGTCCGAGGGATGATTTTTTTGTGGGCACAGGCTTGAAGCTGGCACGTTTTGGGTTCGTGTCTGAAGTTTACCTCCAAGCAAGAGGTCACAGGTTTGAGTTACAGGCTCAACGGTCTGAATTCAGAAAGTCCAGATTTCGCAATCAAATTCTCAGAGTTCAGAGTCTTGCCTGATTTGTTTTTGAGAAGGGGTGGCATTTAAGAGGTGGATGTGTTCCAATGCATAAGACCCCAGGAAGACTCCCGGAAGCACCACTGCCTCGATGTCTTTCGGGGACACTGCTATGAAAGTGGCCCAAATAACAACCTACACTACTTTAAAAAACTGTTGGGGTTCCGGTTTTCCTTAATTATAGCATAATGGGCGCCTAAACCCTAGTCTAATTATACGACTGTTACATTATCTTCTAGACATCTCCGGCTGCAGCGTCAGGTTTAAAGCCCTGAACTCTGAAGATCATGCTAAACCCCACGCGCTAGACCCGACACCGTAAACCCTAAACTTTTGACGCCTCAAACCCCGGAGTCCGAAATCCTGATCCGTCGGTCCGGTCGATGTTCGTTCTACGGGGTTTAGGCTTAGGGTTCAATGTGTAGGGTTTGGGGGCTGCTGGATGGGCTCAACTCGACTTTACGGCAGATTTCCTTGAAGGGGGTGGGAATATGACAAGCAACATCGGGGTCGACTAGTTGCTTGCCAAGGTTGTTCCCGAGGGTTCCTCATTATTGTAATGATCATAAATGATGATGTAATATTATGCCCGCAAGCCGTATTCCAAGTATTACGGGCCGAACAAAGTAGGCCTGCCGTTTTCATGCGGTGCCTTTGTGGGCAGTGCTTTGAAGGTAGTTACTTCCACGAGACTTCGTAGCCAACCTGGTGCGAGGGTGCAAACCTGGTGCGAGGGTGCAACTGGCCCCTTTTTCGGTAAAGTCAACACCAGTCCATGTGGCCGGTTGGCTTCTTTCCCCAAGGGTGTAAGCAATACCATAGTATATACTATCGGGGCCCAAAGACAGACTAAGTGCCCACTATAGCGGTACTTGGACCCTTTTGGGTTTGCACTGAGTCGAATTTGAACTTCTGGCGTCAATTTGTTGGCATCCGGATCTTTGCAGACCGTATTCGCTTTGTAGTTGGCCGTTTTGTGCGACCTTACAGTCTCACCGTCACTTGAAGAAAGTATGGATACCAGCATGTGGCTTGGACAACCTGTACATACCTACACCAATTCCTTTGGCCTGCGGTGATACGTGCAGTTGGTGTGTCTGGAATGTATGATGTTGTCCGATTGGTTATGCCGTGAATTGATTGCAAGTGCCGAGAATCCCGATGAAATCATAGCAACCGGACAGCAGCAGTTTCAGGCTTTAACAAAGTATTCGTAGTAGTAATCGACACACTAATGCTTCTGGGCATATTCGGGGATGACTGGCGCAGGATGTCATACCACCCACGCCGGAGTTGACCATGCCTTTGTGGGAGGCGGGGCCATGATGGGCAGGGTTTAGGGGTTTAGGTGTAGGATAGGTCACGTTGATTTCGAGGATGCTGCAATCTGCAACAGTCCCTGTCTTGAGCTTCGGTGTTAGCAATTCGAAAGCGCGTTCGGTGCTTGAATCTCCTTATGGTCCATGTTTAGCGATGCTAAAAAACACCTCAGACCAAAGTTCCCTTGTAGCTTGTAGTTCGCCTATAGTGGTAGTGCAAAAGACAAGCCTATTCCATAGGTTGAGGTTCCTATAATGGGCTTCCCGGCGCTGGGTGATCTCATACGTGTAGGGCCTAGGGCGTTTCGGTTTAGGTTCCTTTTGTCCAAGAAGGGACCCTTAATAAGGACCCCAAGGTATATACCCGTAATATAGCCGTTATATACCCATTATATAGCCCATTATAGGGTAGGGGTCCCCATTAAGGGTCCCTCCTTTTCCCCTTTGATTTTGGAAGTCTTCGGCTCTCAGTGAGCGGCTGAAGGTCTTTGCTCGGATCTCAGGGATCCACCCCAACTGCAATGACATTCCAGCACCAAGACCCCAAAAATATGTAGAATAATAGCCTTTAAGGGGTACTGGGTCATTGTTTTTCCTACTTTGTGGGGGGGTTAGGTATGCAGTTCTTCTACAAACGTATGTGTGGAGGGCCGCTACTAGCAGAGATTGGGATTCACAGACTAGGGTTTAAATAAGGGGATTTTGCAGAAAACACAGGAAAGGCTCTGCAGGGCATCGAGTCTTGTAGTACAAGTAGGGCTGAAACGTTGCGAACCCGATAGAGAATTTCAGCGTCACGACCAAACTAGAGCGAACACAGACTGCGCTCTCATTCTGGCAAGGACGGCGAGGCCCTGACGACCGAGGCAAGCCCCACTGTCGTGGGTTGCTCAGGGTTCGGGACGAATCGAAGCCTGTACTGACTTCGGGGGGGTGCCTTGTATGGCGTGCGGGTTGGGGGTAGCCAGGGCCAGACAGAGATGAGCGTCTGAGAACATCAGGGAGGCTTGTAAGTAAGAAAGTTCCCAGATGTGTGAGCATCTCGTAAACAGGACAGTGGTTGGCAGGGAGATAGACGGACCAAACAGGTAAGCATCTCAAGAGTTCTAGTCGCATGGAAGACTTGCAGACCAGGTTGCCCATTATGGGCAGGAGGACAGATTTGCTGTCCTCAGCGGAATCTCCCACGCTAAGCACTGAACCCTAAACCAGAATGCCCGAAACCCTTGTTGGTGCTTTGTGAGTCCCTCCTGGGTTTCAGGCTTTAGGGTCCCCTAAGCCGGTTTTAGGGTTCAGTAGGGTTTCGGCGCCATTCATAAGACCGCAAAGCTGCCAGGCTGGAGACAAGCTTGGGCTTTGCCGTATTGTGGGCACCGGCGAGGATGGTCGGCCGCTTTTGGGTACGATCGTGCTGGAAGGCGGGCAGCCTTCATGGAGTCGGGGTCTCTAAACTCGGTGGTCGGGAATCACGTGAAGGTATCCTGAGGGGTCTTTGTTGGGGGGCTTAAGGTTAGGGATTGGACGAAGTGGTAGAAAGTAGCCACATTTTGCACCAGAAAGTAGCCGCATTTTGCATCAGGAGGCGGAGACTTCTGAAACTCACTAGGCCGCCAAAGCACAGTTTTCTTCGTCGAACCTCGGGTCGAAGAGCTTGTCCCTAAACCCAAAGCCTTAAAAACCCTAGACCCCAAGCTTTGGTATCCTGTGCCTTACGTCGACCTCGAGTCAGGACCTGAATCCCAACAATACATGCCCTTGCTGCATGGTTCTGCATTACTGCTCAAAGAAGCCTCATTAAGCCAGACGGGTGTAAGTAAATACTGGAGAGACTTTTGGTGAGGATTCCTGATTATGAACACCATATAACGCAGACCAAGATCCTATTTCTAAGTAGAAACAGATGACGGAAGTATTGTACACTCTACGTGGTCTGCCAGCAACAGCCACAACAAATCCAACCTGCTGCATGTTGACTGCTTCAAGTACAAAGTCTAAACACTAAACCCTAATCCTACAGCCTGAAACCTCTAAATCCCTACACTCCTAAACCTCAAACCCTAACTCCTAAACTGTGAACCCTGAACCCAATGGGCAGGCCCTGATATGGGAATTTGCCACTTCGTGGCTCGGCCGATGCAGAGAAGAGCTCTAATGCAGAGGAAACCCAGGGTCGAGTGATGCATTTGAGTACACATGTGCATATAGATTTATACACCAACGTACCCTGCCTATGCACCTGTGTGCAGTAAGAAACATGCATCTATGAAAAGTGCGGCTATAAAGTATGCATCTATGAACAGCACGGCTTGCCCATGCAGAGTTTCTTCATGCACAGTGTTGCAAAAAAAACGTATGCAGCGATGCGTATCAAGCATGTTAGCACGGATGGATGGACAGCTGCTTTCATGCATTTGGGTCTGCATCTCCAGTGGGCGTGCCCAGAAGCATGTCGAGCTGGATTTTATGTATTTTATACAACACTCGATCTGTCTGCCGACCTGTCTGCCTTCCTGTTTGTTTTGCTCTGGTTGAATCCCTCCAGATAGGTTATCTTTGTATCTGAACCTGTCTACAGAGATGTGGGAGGCTGCTGTCTGTGTTGTGTGCCGCATGCAAGATCTGTTGTGTTGAGACTTCCGTGTATCGCATGTGGATGACGGTTGTCGCGACGTCAGCTTTCCCGCTGTATGTGAACAGTATCTTACATGTCACCAAACCCTAAACCCCCTTCACCCTAAACTCTCGACGGAAAGGAGTCAAGCTTAGGTTGAGGTGAAGGCTAGATTTAGGGTTTAGGGTTTAGGCTCTTCTGCAAGTTTATTTCAGGCACTGCTACGGACAAGGATGAGTACCGAACCCTAAGCCCTTAAGGCCCTAAACTGGAAGCCCTAAGCCCTGGGTCATGTGCATGCAAGGTCACTCCATCTGGTGAAGCCAAGGCGGCTGCGGGGATGTGATTTAAGGTTTAGGGATACCTAGAGGTTAAGGGTTTAAGGTTACCTAGAGGTTCAGGGTTTAGGGTAACCTGGAGGTTTAGGGTTTAAGCTTTCCTAGAGGTTCAGGGTCTAGGGTACCTAGATGTTGAGCAGTTTGATCCTACTCTCAGATGGCATCGGCGGTCTAGGGAGGGTTTAGTTCCTCCAAATCCGAATGGTGAGACACTATTTAAAGTAACCAAGCACCCTAAACCTTACAAGCCCTTAAACCCATCGACACGGTTCTTCCCCGACACTCGGCCTAAGAGACCCTGCAACTGTCATGCCGGTGGAGTGCGACCCCCAAACTGAGCAACCACAACAAAAGAGAGTGGGCAAGTCGCAGTTAGTCCTTACCATACCTTCATCACGTCTGAGACTATGTATATACTGTTTTTGTGATGATCAGCTAACCCCTCCAACCCTAAGCCCCGCCCTAAACATTAATACCCCTACTAAACCGAAAGCCCGACGCTAAAGCCCTTTTTCAGCCCAACCCTAAATCCTAAGTCCCTACAGCCCGAAACCCTGAACTCTACGATCTATAGTGAACCCCAGAAAGTTGGAACATGGATTTAGGATGATTCTTGCTGGGATTCCCTTCACTTTACTTTAGGGGCATGAGGCTACTGATGTTCCAACTTTCTGGCTTCTACTGTAAGCCCTAAACTACCCACTACCTACCCTAAGCCTTAGGTCTTAAACCCCCTAAGCCGTCATTCAGGAGCTGGTGGGTGGCCTTTTCCATGTCCTTCAGGCCGTGAGCAGCCTGTGTGCAAAACCCAGAGACTCCAAAACCCCTTAATTGAGGAATATGTATTAAATCCTATTCTGATTTAAGGTATATTCCTCAATTAAGGGGTTTTGGAGTCTCTGGGTTTTGCACGAGCTGTTTACAGCTGCGGGTGCCTAATAAGCCCTAGGGATCAAAGTAGAACAAAAGCGTTTTATAGTATGGTCTTTGGGCCCACAAGCCTTGATAGATGAGTCCTTAGATCCCTAGGGATAGGGGCTTAAATAATTACCAATACTGTTTTTTTTTTGGGGGGGGTTCCTGTATGTAATTATAGTATAATGGGCCCCAAATCCCTATTCTAATTATTAAGGCTCCTATGCAGTGGTCCGAAGGGTCCGGCTCACAGAGCTACGTGTTACAGGGAGTTTCCGAAAACCTGGGGAACCTTATTATGGGATCCTTATAATACGGATCCTACTATTTCGGATGCTACATTATGGTACCCTATTTTCGGAAACTCCTATCTATTTTTAAAGACTTGTGCTCCGAAGCTCCCATACTGCCGCAAGCCCTTCACCCGAAAGCTTCCAAAGCCTACCTGCAGCCCCAAACCCTAGTTTAGGGTTTAGGGTTTAGGGTTTAGGTTGGTGGTGACACCTTAATTAAGTAGTTATTGGGCAGAACCGTTAAAACAGCAGATAGTTGGATCCCCACATAAATCCTAAACCCGAGCTACGCCGGTCATATGGAAACCCCGCGGCCCCGTAAAGCTTAAGCCAGAAACCCTTAAACCCTTTAAACCCCTCAACCCCAAGACCCTAAATCCCCAAACTCCTACACCCTCACCTTAAACCCGAAACCCCTAAACCCCTAAGCCCCTAAACCCATAAACCCCTAAACTCCTAAACTCCTAAACTCCTACACCTTAAACCCGAACCCAAAGAGCGGCCAGGCTCGCCCAAGTGGAGTGGCACCAAAGTGTGCCGAGGCCATTATTGGGCTTTGCTTGAATGCCAGGCGAGAGTTCGAGGTTTAGGGGTTAGGGTTTGGGTTTGGGGTTTAGTTTTCGGGCTAGGGTTTAGGGTTTAGGTTTGGTGGTGTCAGGTTTGGGGGTTGAGGGTCAGTAGAGCCTCCGGAAACGCTTTTCGGCCATGAGGTTTGTTTAGGCTTTGCTGTTGCTGCATTGCTTATTTCTCTGCAGAGGACCGTCACTGTTCCCAAGCTTGCAATCCACATGCGTCGAGGGCTGCCATTGTGGGATGCTGCACAGAGAGTCGTTTTAGTCCTGACAGATACGTACAAGCCTTAAGCCAATAAGATTTTGCATCCTACTTGCGTCCAAACTTCCAGACCACTGACAGGGTGCAGTTCCCGCGGACCTTCTGTGGCGTGCCTCGGTCAAGACTTCGGGCCCCGGAGCATGTTCTGAAGTGTCTATTCTAGTGAAGTATATTGGTGGCCACGAAATGTAGGTGCACTCGCAAGACGAACAAACATCCAAGCTCGACACCCTGAACTCGTCCTTGAGCCCGAATCTTAAGCCTTAAAACCCTAACCCCAAACCCCAGAAGCACCAAACCCCTAAAGCCCTAAAGCGTTAAACTGCGAACCCTAAAATCGTAAAAGCCTCTTGGTTTGGACATGTTTGGAACACTGGGGATCAAAATAGCCCAAAAGCCTTGTATAGTATGGTCTTTGGGCCCAAAAGCCTTAATAGCGATATGAGTCCTTAGATCCCTAGGGGAAGTGAAGCACCTCGCCACTCTGGCACACGCCATGATCTCCCAAGTTGGAAGTTTAGGGTTTATGGTTTAGGGTTTAGGGTTTAGGGGGAATGAATGAATCCTTGTATCGTGCTTTCCACATACACAAAGCACCAGTGGTTCATGGATAAATGGCAGTGTTCTATGTGTGTACATACCTACATACTTACGCACGTACATGCATGCTTACATACGTACATACCGTACATACATACATATATCTATATACCTGCATACTGGCGTACCTACATACCTACATAAGTACACACGTACATGGATACATAGCTCTGACTTGTGTTGGGGAGAGGCAGGGGTGTTATCTGTGAAGTAAAGTTCTTGCCACGTAGGGTCTAACGTAGGGTCTACATGTAAATCTCACAGGGGAACTTGCGGTCGTGATGATGATGGGTAGGTTGACGATGCGAACATCGAGACAGATGATGATGACGATGATGGTGGTATTTCATGTCATGCTTTGTACACAGTGGTCTTAAGCAGTCACGTGCTCGAGACCACCGTCGTTGACAACATCATTATCATGTTAGTCATCGTGATCACCATCGTCATCAGCGATAGCATAGTCTTTATGTCGTGTTCCTTGGCCACGGTCATCAGCGTCGTTCCGCCCTTCGTCATGATCTCGATTGTTTTCATCATTCGTCATTCCGTGTTGGTTTTTGTCGTCGTCAATAACCAGATAGAGGACATGTATACACACATATGTTTGTGTACATACGTACATACATACGTACATGCGTACAGACAGAGAGAGCCAGCCAGCCAGCCAGACAGACAGACAGACAAGACAGACGGACAGACATCAATGAACACTCATTTGCATAGCACTCTCTCTCTCTCTCTCTCTCTCTCTCTCTCTCTCTCTCTCTATATATATATATATGTTTAATATACATGTGTATACTCGAACAGTTTGTGCACATACATACATAATACATACATTCAAGCAGACATACTTACGTATGCAGATACATCAATGAACATGCAGGTTCTCTTATTCGCACATGTAAACAAGGGACCTTACACGCAAAGTATATCTATCTATATCTATGTCTATATCCATATCTATATCTATATCTATATCTATATCTATATCTATATCTATACCTATACCTATATCTATATCTATATCTATATCTATATCTATACCTATATCTATATCTATATCTATATCTTTATATCTATATCTATATCTATATCTATGTCTGTTTCTATATCTATATGTATATATATATATATATATATATATATATATATATATATATATATACATACATATGTATACATATGTGTATATGTATATATATATATATGTAGAAATGCCTTCGATTCCTCATGACGAAGTCATGCAAAGTCCAGGGGTGGAGCGCTTCCTGACCGCCGCGGACCGCGCGCTCCTCACGCGCGTGGTGCAGGATGCAGGCACAGCTGAAGGCCCCGAGTGTAGGGTTTAGGGTTTAGGGTTTAGCACCTGCTGCAGCGTGTTTGAGGCGTTTATGGGGTTAAGGCCTAGGGATTTTTAGGGTTAAGGCGAGGTTTCAGGATTTTGGCCTAGGGTTAATGGTGATAGTAAGTCTCGGGGTCGGGGCGTAATCTTCGAGCATGTGAGACCGTTGCCTTCGGCATTATAGCCATTGAAAGCCGGCCCAGGACTTTCTTTTGGATTTGGATTACAGGTTGCTCATACAAGTACCAGACATGTATGTCAAGCCCAAAGCCCGAACTTCACGAACCTGCCTTTGGCTAACGTCTTGGGAGTTTGGGTTTAGGGTTCAGGCAGGGTGGCTGGCTCGGTCCAGTGGCCTCACTAAATTGCACCCCTCTACGAGGTGCGGAGTAGCGGCTGAAACACGCGACCAGCCTTGCTGCGGGAAATTGCACGACCTCCTAGCGTGATATCTCAATGCCGCTTGCATCTAAGTTTGTGACGGCGTAGACCTGAGACATGCCAGCTCTGCAATGTGTGTGCGTGTGTGTGGGTGTGTGCGTGTGTGTGTGTGTGTGTGTGTGTGTGTGTGTGTGCGTGGGTGTGTGTGGTTGGTGTGTGTGTGTGTGTGTGTGTGTGTGTGCGTGATGTCTAGGCTTGCTACCTACACCTTATAGGGTTCTGAGCTGTTGCATTACCGGTTTCAGGCGTTAGGCATTAACGTCATTAACGTGTTGGAGGTTAGCTCCGATGGTGTCCCTAACCCCTACACCGTGAAAACAACCCCAACCCGTAGATCTGTTCTTAAAGAGGTCCAGGTTTGAGTTGTGGAGGAAAGGAAGATGAAGACGTCCCTCAAAACGGCAGGCGACGTTTTCGCACAGCTCGTGGAGGCAGAGCCCGATCGGTCGCAGCGGGGAGTCAAGGGCAGTATGCTAATTGTGGTGTAACACCTTTCCCTATAAGGGTGCATGTACCCAAATAGGGCTCCTTTCCGGGTTCCTTTCAAGGGTGCCATAGGGATTTAGGGACTTCTAGTGGTATATAAGAATGTCCGTTCTACAAACGTTTGGCTTATCGCTGTTGTCTTTGACACTACAGGTGTACCCATAGGCCCCATAGTAGTTCCTTTTTTATTTAGGGTTCATATGTAGAATCCTATAAGGTAACTCCCAAAAAGGACGGGGCCCGCCCATCCCATCAACACAAAGTTATCCCCCCGACCCCCCCGCCTACTTGGAGGCCCAGGGGACTTAGGTAGCTCCTCGGAGGGTACTTAATCAATTATACCCCCCAATATTTGGAGCCTACGTACTAAGTCCCCTGCACCTCTAAGTACCCTCTTTCATGTTGAATCTCTGCGACGAGGTCCAGACAGCCCCCTCCCTGTTCGCCCTGCAAAGATCCACGTGGGAGTCTCCGAAAATGGGGAGGACACTGATATAGTACCCTAACTAGTAGGATACTTATTGTAAAGACCCCCGAACACAAGGTACCCCTAATTTTCGGAAACTCCCACGTCTTGAGAAGCACACGCATGATAGGTTTCTATGTTATGAGGGCATCCCACTCTCGATCACGAATAGGAAAAGTATTGACGAATAACTATGCGGGGACCATCAGGGGATACAATTATGTAATTACCAATAGTAAACCAGAAACCCCAATGGCCTTGTTGCTTGGTAGGAGATCCTCAGCTAAACGCTTCGGGATTTTCCATAAATTGGGGATAGGGCCTTCGGTATTCGGTATTGGCAGGGGTTCTTCTCACCCGAAGTCAGGACCAGTCCCATCCACGGGTATGAACATCCGTGCACGCCCACTTCTGCCAAGCTAAGATGTATTTTTTGGGACTTATACAGGGCCCTCAATTGGAAACCCGATGTCCCATCACGCAAGTTCCTGAAGTCCAGCACGCTTTCTTCATGGAAGATAAATTCGTTGCGCCCCGCTGCCCACAAGTGGCTCAGGGACTGCAGAAGCTGGGTGGCTGCGAGCTGAACGAGGCCGGTTGTCCTCAAGCTTAGGATAAGGTGCAGGGTTAAACCCTGAACCTTGAACCCTAACTCCTAAACCCTAAATCCTGCGGTCAAGGCTTGGGGTTTAGAGATTCTCACAACTTCAAGAACTCGATGCCTGGCCTAGGAAGACCCTACATAGAGGGTTTAACAGTGTTTGAGTGTCGAATTGAAAGTGCCCCAAGCTCAGAATGCAAACTAACCCTTTATACCTCGTGCGTGGGTTTCCGAGCATAGAGCGATTAGAGGTTTTGATTTTCCTGTCGGAAACCATCGCAAGGTGTGTCTATGGTAACAGCCACTGATCTCCTCCTATAGCAAGTATGTTCCACCCTGTCGTGATGAAGAGCCTATTTGGACAGTTGCAGGTTGCATTCTGCTACACAAGCGGAAGCAACAGGAAACCCTGCAATATCAGACGTTCTACATCCATCAATATAGCATAGGCAATAAGAGTTGTTAGTCGTACTTGTTTTGCGGTCGTGATATTCAAGGTTTCGCGCCAAATGCTTGGACAGCTTTCTTCTATGCCTCGCAGTGTTCCTGCAGGTGCTTTTGCAAGCTTCAGTTGTTGGAAGATCTGTCTCTTCAGAGAAAGTTCACATCGCCTCCTAGCTTCAGCTCCCAGTTTTGAGTCAGGTCCTCTCCGCATCGCGTTTCGTGCCGCACCCGCTCAATGCCCTGGGCCTCCATCTGCTCCTCTGGCCGCAAAAGTTTTGGGGGCACTGGGCAGCAGGTCCAGACGTTTGCCGCTAAAGCCGTAGGAGGCGAAACTCGGGCCCTTGAGCAAGCCGAAATTCCAACATCCATAACTTTTTGGGGTTGATCTAGGCTTGGTGAAGGAGTCGGGCGCACTGCTAACATTTGCAGTCGGTACCCTCCTAAGCCCCCAACGCTATGACAGTCATTGTGCATGCTCCGGCAGACAGCAGAAAAGTTTCCTCTTGAGCCGCTTGAGCCGATACATCCAGATGAGCCAAGACCGGCTCACTTCATCGTGCCCTTTCGGAGTCAGCTTCCTTCACGGCTTGGACATGTGACTCTGTGCTCGTTGATGTAGTTTTCGACTGCCAACTCGATCATCTATGTCTATGTGCACGTAAGGCCAAAAACTCGGCCTTGTAGGGTTTGGGTTTAGGCATTGACTTGGGCCTAGAGGCATTTGAACCAGATATTGTATTCCCCTATGTTCGGAAACTCCCATGTACGGCTTGGCGGGACCTGCAGAGCTTTCAAGCACGGTGAGGCCTCGGTTTGCATATCATAAACGGTTTACCACATAAGATAAGCGTTAAATCCAATTCCGTATAAATCCACACAGTACATAAACTCCGCAATTGTTATCCCTACCATCGTATCCGGGTTGCAGAGCCATGTGAGAAGCTTAAACCATGCTTATGGAACGAGGGCCGAAAAAGTCAAAACACTATGACCCACCCCTCACATCATCAAGCCAACCACATGCCCTTTGCTACGCCACAACCTGTTGCCCCTGGAGCTGTAGCTCTACAGTCCAGGCTGCGCAGCTTACTCGCTGAGCGCATGGCAGATGCCAGGGCTAGAGACCGAGGCTCCATGTGGTATGCCAGGGATCGTTGCCCTCCTCCCCTTGTAACTTGCTGCTGCTCCTGCTGCTACGCCCTTTATGATTGCGACCACCGCCATTGCTGCCACCACCAGCACTACCTCTACACTGCGCCAGCAGCAATACCAGCACCACTCTCCACCACCACCACCACCACCACCACCACCACCACCACCACCACCAGCACCACCACCAGCACCACCACCAGCACCACCATCAGCACCACCACCAGCACCACCACCAGCACCACCACCAGCACCACCACCAGCACCACCAGCACCAGCACCAGCACCACCAGCACCAGCACCAGCACCACCAGCACCACCAGCACCAGCACCACCAGCACCACCAGCACCACCAGCACCAGCACCACCAGCACCACCACCACCGCTAGTATCACTCCCGCTAGCACTGCGGAATGTTAAACATTGCCTGGGTGTTAGAAGTACCAACCATCATGATTGCCACCATCCATTGTCGTCAGATTTGTTACCACCCTCGTCGCCGTCGTTCTGTTCATGCTTCTTGTCCTCGTGTTCCTGCTTGGCGGTAAGGCACTGTCGTCATTGCTCTCAACACTAGTGTCATGTAAGCCGTCAGATTCATAGCCATCTTGTTCGTGTGCATTGTCACCATCGCCCTCACCATTGTCATCACCATCGTAATCCTCACCAGCGGACGTTCGCCTCTCTTGGCATCAGACGCGGTATACACGATGTCGGACTTCATCTCATCAGGCACCTAGTCAGCGTTTGGAAGTGTGGTTACAGGCGCAAGCGGCAATTCAGCATGGAGGAACTATGTATCGTTTGCATGGTCTGTGGTTCGCAATGCTGCGACCGTCCAGATCATTCCCGCTTCTTTCTGATATGGGAGTTGCCGACAATTAAGGTTCCCTGATTTTGGGGTCCTTATAATAAGGATCCTACTGTTTAGGGTACTATGTTAGGGTCCCCTAGTTTCGGAAACTCCCATATGTCTGTAAGATCCTCAGAGCCAACACACTCTATATCATCCACAAGGTTACACCCACAGGGTCCATAATGGTCGTCATTTCTGCAAACCGGCGCAAAACCCCGAGCTAGTTTTAGGAATGAGATGCAGTAGTTCAAGTATCTGGCGTTCGAATTTACAAATGCCTGTAGGGTCTTTAGGTTTCAGACCTGCCTTTCAGGACAACATGGATGCAATGCAGGTGGCACAGAGACTTTTCGAATTCATCGGCGAACCGTCCAGGGTCGGGTCGGGACCATGCAGAACTCAACTCCCCAGAAGCTAATCGTGGTCGAAAACTCTTCAACCCTGAGCCATCCAAACCTTAAACCCGAAGAGCGCAGCCCTAAAGCCGGATCAGTCCTCACCGGTCAGGCTATGACAAGCATCCTGACTATCCGACATGGTCACGCCAGGGCTTGCTCATGAAGGCATCGGGTTCTCGGGGCCTCTGGGGGCTCACGCAGCAGGGTTGCGAGCGCAGGTCTCGGTTTCAGGAGTTTGTCTACAGCACAGGTCTGGCGGCTACCCATAGGCCCCATAGTAGTTCCTTGTTGGGATTTCCTTATATATGGGATTCTACATATGAACCCCCAAAAGGAACTACTTTCGGGCCTATGGGTACTGGCTTGGGCACAAAGTATGGGATCAAAGCCGCCGCAGTTGCTGCGCAATGTAATTACTCACACATCCATTTAGTTGAGTTTCAATCCGTGCTTGAAGGCATCGGTTTAAGCTCTGGGGGTCTGCAACTGTTGCTACAGATTGCTTGGCGGATAGAAAACAAACCCTCCCAGGCAAATCCTGGAAACTGATCCACATTTGAACCACGATCGACACTGTTACTTCGTGCCGAAGACACATTCCACCCAGTTCTCCCCAAGACAGTCTAGAAGGCAGAAAACTTGTAATCCACAAGCAAGCCCCAAACTCCCCAAACGCTCTGAAAAACAAGATTCAATGCCAAGCAGCTCAGAGAGGACCTGGACGATCCAAAGCTGGGCGGCGACAAGGCATTGCATGTGCACCTAAGCCCCCCAAAGTAGGTAAAATCATGGCCCAATACCCATTAAAGGCATATTAAAGGCTATTATTCTGCGTACTTTGGGGGTCCAGGCAATGGTTTCATCTTTTGGGGTTCAGGGCTTGAGCTCTTCAGCGATTTTGGGCGGCATTATGCGACCAGGTAAGTCAGAATTGCAAAAAAAAACTAGGTTCCTGAGTAGTGCCCTTTTGCCCTTTTTAGTTTAGGGTCCCCTTATTTAAAACCGAATAGTAGGAAAAAGGGTAGCCTTATTATAAAGGGGTTACTCAGAAACCTAGAAAACCCTCAGGGTGTGCAGCAGCTGCTTCGCATGGTTTCCGGCGAGGACGGGAGGGCAAGCCGGCATGGGCCTTCGAATGCGGCAGCTGTATTTCCGGTCCTAGTCGTGTTCGCTTCAATACGAGCCCACAACCCGTGGTGACAGGGATTGCGCACCATTGTACTACAATCTTTGTGCAAGGTAACGATGAGTATGGCTGCTGATGTTGGCTTTGGAAGCATTCGTCAGCGCGGACATTTATGGCATTACGGCTGATGGACAAAATCCTGCATTACCCTTTACAGGGAATATACCATAGTTCCCATAGTTTAGAGTCCTTAGGGTCATGCAGGATTTTGTCCATCAACAGTATGGACTTTCAGATCCCGTACTCAACCCGAGCGCGAGACACAAAGCTGAACTTTCAAATTCATATCATTGTGGAGCTTCTGAACCCAGAACCTCCATAATTGAATCCTATAAATGATAAGGGATGGCACGTGCGGGTTCGGGAAGCTTCTAGTCTAGCTTAGCGACTTTACGACCATTCCTTCTGCAAGTTTCCGATTTTTCGGACCTGGAGTTAGTTTAGTTTAAGGGTGCTCTATGCCGGGACCGGAAGGTGTGTTTTGTCTAGCCAGGCTGAACTGCAGCTCTTTTTTGGTGTAAGCGCTTCATGGTCATAAGATTCTTCAAGAAGAGAAACCGAAACAAAAGCTACAATCCAGGCCTAGGTTAACAGTACTAGACATGGGTTCTTGCTATGCGAAGCTCGGGCGGTCTAAGATGTATGCTGTGTTGCCCCGAGTTACAGTGCTTCAAGCACCCTAATTCAAATCCCAGCCGCGGCCACATTAGAACTCTAGAGACCCGAAGGGCTTAGAGCAAGAAACCCTCCTAACCCTGAACCCTAATCCCGATTCAAGAGGAGTCTGAAGGCATACCGGAGCTGCCCCTCCGGTGGCAAGCGCGGCAGCTGGGCAGCAGAGCAGATAAGGAGCCGACACAGCGTTATTCAAGATCAGTTCAGGCCCCTTCTTGGAGCTAAGGTCGATATGTATTGCGAGATAACCCCAACTAATTACATGGGATCCGGGATACTAGTATAAGACCAACTTTAACTAGACTTACAAAGTTCCCTGATCCCTCAGTTCGAAGTAGGCGAGAGCAGCATAGAAGCCCCTATCCCCGCACCCTAATACCTAAACCCGATAAACCCCAAACCCTATAAACCCTAAACCCTTGTCCCTGAACCCCAAACCCTAAACCCTTATCACTAAACCCTAAACCCTTATCCCTGAACCCCAAACCGGAAACCCTTATCCCTGAACCCTAACCCCAGACCCCAAACCCTAAACCCCAAGCCCTAAACACTGAGGAATGTCACCGTCCAGGACCGGGCAGTTACCTGGGCACTTGATATTACCAGGTTTCAGGGACAAGGGTTTGGGGCTTAGGGATGAGGATTTAGGGTTTAGGGGTTTGGGGATGAGGATTTAGGGTTTGGGTTTCAGGGTTTGGGGTTTAGGGGTACGGATTTAGGGTTTGGGTTGCAGGGTTTGGGGTTTAGGGATACGGATTTAGGGTTTGGGGTTTAGGGATAGGGGTATAGGGTTCGAGGTTGAGGGTTTAGGTATTAGGGTGTAAGGATACGGGTTTGTAGATTGGGTATCATGAGAGCGGCAGTAAGGGTCAATGCTCCCTCAAGGTTGAAAACCAGTGGATGTTCCCTCTTCCTGGTTCCCACTACATGGTGTAGAGTGTGTTGATCTGTCCCGAGCACTCGCCTCTGGTCTCGATCAAGACCGAAGCAGTCCAGGAGCCAGGAGCCCTAAATACAAATCTCATCCGCGGTGACGATAGAACCCTGGAAGCCCGAAGACCTTAGAGCCATCATAAGCCCAATTCTCCCAAACTCTCATCAGTCCTAAACTTCCTAACCCCTGAATCCGAAACCCAGTGAGGAGACACCAGATCCGCAGAGCCAGCTGCACATTGACACGTTCGCACCGATCGTGAAGGCACGCTGGCGATGGGTGTGGGTTTCAGGGTTTCATGCTGACTTATAAGTTTACGTTGAAGGTTTCCAGGTTTACAAGGTTTAGGGTTGAGGGGTGTAGTGGTTTAGGGGCTTGGCAGTCGAGGGTTTGTTGTTGCGGGTTTAGACGAGACCGCCTCAAGTGACTCAAGTCGCAGGGGTTAAAGGTTGTATGTTCAGCATGTTGACCCAAAGGGTCCTAGGTATTGTTATGGGGGATACTTCCCTAAAGCAGAATCAGAATGGTAATTCCTAATATTGAAACCCTGCATTCTACTATATAGGTACTTTGGACACTTTGGGCAACACAAAGATGAAACCTGGAACATGAAGCGCAGAGCTGTTCGGGAGCTGTCCTTCGCGTTCAGCTGCTGCTTCATCGACGGGTTGGGCGGTAGCCGCCATGTAGTTTTAGTGATCACGTCAGGAGCCAAGGGCACTTTTTGCAGAGTTTTGCCAGTGCAGGAGCAGCCACAGTAGCAGGAGCAAGCTCCTACTCTTCCTACCACTACTACTGCTGCTATTGCTACGACTTGTTTTTTTCTTCTACTGCTGTCCTGTGTGGGGTTTGGTATTACCACCGTACTACATGTCTTGGAGATGTTTGGTTCCCATGACCTGAACTTCAAAGATTGCGATGCTTACTATACCCATAGGCTCCATAGTAGTTCCTTTTTGGGATTGCATGAAAGGATTCTACACATGAACCCCCAAAAAGGAACTACTATGGGGCCTACGGGCCCCGGAAAAATGAGGAGCCCTCAACTCCCGAATTTTGGGGGTCTCAGGGTTTTACCGTTTAGGGCTTTTAGGGTTCTTAGGGCTTTTAAAGGTTTCTAAACCCTAAACCCTAGACCGGCTTAGGGTTTAAAATAGTATTTTCGGAGCTTTGGAAAGGTCTGGGTCTTCCAAGATCCTCCTGGGGTGAGCTTGGAGGAGGCTGGCGGAAGCCCTGTGCTCCGGGAGACTTCACGATTTGGGGGATTTAGTTGGTGATCTAAAAACCTACTGCTTTGGGGGTCATCTGGGGATTTCCGACATCTAGGGGTGCCGTACTTTTGGGTACCTCCAATAAGGATGCTACGTACGATTTATGGTACTTTATTTGGGTCCCCTATTTTCGGAAACTCCTTTTACCTGTATCTGTTTGTAGGCTTTGGGGCTACAGGTAGGGCATCGGGTTTCAGGCTTTTTAGCCTGTTCAGGGTCACTCGGTTCAGGGCAGGGCAGAGTTAGATTGCAATGGGGTAACAGCCATCAGCTTGGGTCTTTGCGTCTTCTAGGGGTCGCCAAGAAACTCATCTCATAACGGTCCATGTATCCATATAGTATATGCTCCGGCTAGAACGTAGTCCCATGTACTTACCAATATGCCCCATAGTAGTTCCTTTTGGGGATTAATTACCTTATAGGATTCTACATATGACCCCCGAAAGGAACTACGATAGGGCCTATGAGTAAGGGCCACTATATGGGCACGGGGACCCTTCGGGATCTATCTGCTTCAGCCGCCGACCGGGCAGCTCCTTCCCTGGTTCAGAACAAATCGTCCACGGCTGTGCCTTCAGAGCTTATGGGTCTACCCATAGGCCCTATAGTAGTTCCTTTTGGGGTTCATATGTAGAAGCCTCTAAGGTAATCCCAAAAGGAACTATTATGAGGCCTGTGGGTAGCTTATTGGCTTTCGCATACAGGGGCTTTAACACCTTGGATGATCTGATGCACGAGGACAACCCGGTAGAGGCAGAGAGCTTCTGCTCCCGTCGACGGCGCAGTGTTGGCGCTCCGTCGCAGCGCTAAGCGGACGAGGAGACTGCCAAATCTGCACGCGGCTGGCACCCCGCTTTTGGGTGCGGAGGAGGAGGAGGAGCCGCTTCGGTGGGGAGGTGTTGACTGGAGTCCGATGACTCCTCAGCCGCCTGTAAGCCGTATAAACCCTAAACCCTATAATAAACCACAAGTACCAGAATGTCGTTTCGGCAGCCTCAGCACATGTAATAGTTGCACACTGTCGATTCTGGAGTTGATACAACCCAAAAACACCCTCATCAAGCCAAGCCCGAAACTTGCGTGAGCCACAACATGTTATGTTATTGTGATATGGGAGATTGCGAAAACTAGGGGTACCTTATTTTGGGGTCCTTTTCATAGGGATCCTAGTATTTAGGGTACTATACTGGGGTCCCCTATTTTGGGAAACTCCCATAATTATGCCATTATGTTAGACTGTCCTATATATTATTCAGCTCATGCCCGACTTTTTGCAATACTATACTGGTCCCGGAACCCGACACAGGAGCTTCAGCCACTGTTGTGATTCTGATTGTCTATTTTCGAACTTCCGTATGATAGACATGTTTATGCATGCTCAAGCCCATATACTGTCGATGTGCATCCCACACCCAGGCAAGCAAGGTTAACCCTGAACCTTAAATCCTAAGCCTAAACCCTAAATCATGTAGGAACCTGATTAAGAAACCCTGGGCCAAGAACCATAGTAGGATTCATATAAGAAGCCCTAATAGAGGCCCCAGATTTCTTGATCAGGTTCCCACATTACCCTGAACCCTACAGAATATTAACCCTAAAAGCCCAAGCCCCAGATACCCTGAATCCTTCTGGTCAGGGTCCGCTCCTTTTTTCACAGCGGAGCCACCGGAACTCCGAGGCGAAAACGGCCCCAATTCTTTTTTTTGTTTATGGCTAGGGTTTAGGGGGGCTTAGCGCCCAAATGTAGGGCTTTCCTTTTGGCGTTCAGAGCTTTGGGTTTAGGGGTTTGGGCTGCATGTTGGGCCAATCTTGACCCAAAGTGTTCGCCATTCGCTTGAGCTTTCCTATCGTTTGATCGTGTTTGCTTTTGTCATTCATACATTGCAGGCGAAATCCCACGGCCTACTTGCATCAATTAGAATGAACTAACCGCAATGCCCTAGAGCCCATACGACTGTATGGACGTCAGCACAGACCGTCATAGCCAGTAGAGCATCAAGGCCTGCTCGTGCATGACCGTCAAAAATCACTGTGTTACAGTTTGATTGCAGACATGTGAGTCCAGCAAGCCACGCTGCTGCCACTGCCAGAGCATGCACACAGGAACTCGCATGCATGTTTACATCGTACTACAACTGCTGCTACTTTGCTGTCGCTTCCACCACCACCGTCACCACCACCACTACTTACCACTGCCACTACAACTACCGCCCCCACCTACCACTACCTCTACCACTACCTTATGCTCTGCAGCTATCTGGGGCCCCTATTGCCTATGGTATAGTCTGAACCGACCCTCAGCCCCAAAGCCTGAAAACCTACGACCCTAGCCTCAAACCCCAAGCCCAAGCCCAAAGTTATGAAACCAGGGGCCTCAAGAATTGTCTATGTTATTTTTGGTGTTCCTTAATTTCATTATAATTACAGTATAGTTTGCCCCAAAACCCTATTGCCCCGCGAGTCCATGCTTCAAGAGTCTTTCCTAGGCCAAACTCCGGTGGATGCATGCTTACGCGCAAGAGCCAGCATCTGAGGCCCTGTACATACACGCATGCTTTTAGGGTTCATAGGGTTTAGGGTTTCTGCATGGTTATGAGGTTGTGAAGACGCGATGGTCTTGTCCGTATATGCATATGCCAACAGTTGTATGTGGGATTTGCTAGCTTCAGTACATACGGTTGGATAGAGCACAGGTCACATCTCCAGCAATACTGGCTTCCGGAGGGCATCGTAGATGCGATAAACCGATCGCTGGATGAATCTGCCATAGACGGGGGGAGTTGGCTCCTAGCGGCGGAATACTCACTCGAAAGTGCACCACCGTTTTCTTCGTTCCAATGCCCTCGGGCATTGGATCCGCTGGAGGCGTGGCAAACGAAGCTGCCGGACCAGCGCTGGGTGAGTCTTTTCATTAGCCGGCTGAAGGAGCGGGACGCATTTCACTCGGCGAAGCGAAACTTGACGAATGGCAGTGCACAGGGCAGCGGCTCGGGAAATCCGGACAATCAGCCAGGAGGGCAGCCGGATCCCCCTCGCAGGCCCGCGAAAGCAGAAAGGGAAAGGAGATGGGAACCTTAATTATACATCCCTGTAGATGCCTTATGGATCCCTCTAGACCTCTTATCCCCGCAAAAAAAGGCTCCGAATAATGTAGGAAGCTGATTGAGAAACCCTGAGCCTATAACCCCAAAGCAGTATGATTCATATAAGGAACTCTTATAAAGGCCCAAGATTTCTTAGTCAGGTTCCTGCATTACCAAGTCATCGTTATAAATGTGCCTTCATAGTTATGTACACTATTTTGGAGATTCCTTATTATAATCATAGCATAATGGGCCCCAAAACCTTAATGGCATGAGCCTCGGCTTGGGTGGACCCTCGGAGTCCTTTTTGCTTTTTTGGTTTAGGGTTCAGGGCTTGGGGTTTATAGGGTGCAGGGTTTTGGGGTTTAGGGTTTAGGGGATTACGGGGTTGAGTAGGGTTTAGAGGGTTTAGGGCCGTCAGGGGCCTCAACTTTCTTTGTGTGCTAGGCTTTCTTTGTGCCGGAAAGTATTCTCAGTTGCACTGGCTTCCAACACCTGAACCTCAACCGAAGCCCTTAAACCATAAGTCCTAAACCGCAAAGCCTCGACTCATAACCCCTAAACGCCTAAAACCCTGAAACCCCAAAGGCCCTGAAACCCCAAAGGCCCTTGACCCTTATAGATCCCTAAAAGGAGCCCCTAGAGGAGCCCTTAACCCTGAACCCTAAACCCTAACCTCAAAACCCTAAACCCAAAGGGAGCCCTTAAAGGAACCCCTAAGCCCCCTAAACCCTAACCCCTATTCCCTACACCTCAAAGGAGCCCTTACAGGAACCCCTAAGCCCCCTAAGCCGTAAACCTCAAAGGAGCCCTTAAACGAATCCCTAGGCCTTATAGATCCCTTCAAAGGAACCCTAGGAATTCTTTAAAGGAGCCCCTATAAGCCCCGAGAGCGAAAGAGGCGAGGGCCGAGCCGTCCTTTCGCCTGCGGGGCTGCGCCGGGAGCTCGGCACAGGGCTACGATGTCTTTCTTTGAAAAGCGGGTTTTGGGGGTTTAGGGGAGTTTAGGGAGTTTTGGAGTTTAGGGAGTTTAGGGTGTTAGGGGTTTAAGGAGAGGGCTACGACGTCTTTCTTTCTAAACCCTGGGGTTTAGGGTTTGGGGTTTAGGGTTATTTAGGGTTTATGTGTTTGGGGTTTAGGGCTTAGGGGTTTGGGGTTTAGGGGTTTGGGGTTTAGGGTTTAGGGTTCTATAATTGCAAGTTTGGATCGTTATCGGTTCCCCCCAGAACTCCGGTGGCTTTCTCTGCCACCCTTGGCTTTCAGAAGCGCCAAGACCTTCAGGGCGCTGGACTTTCCAGAACCCCTAACTGCACACATCGCAGAGTTTTCGAGTTTTTATACGGTAGGTACATAAGCCCGAAACCCGAGAAGCCCAAAGCACTTTCATCATTTCAAGCAACACGCACACCAAACAGAGAGCGCCGAGGCAGCAGCGGCCAAAGCTGCCGCAGACTTCGTGCAGGCCGTGGAAGGCCATTTGGTCCTGGAGGCCAGTGCATAGAGTGTAGGGTCATAGATTGTCGGGTTCGGGTTTAGGGTTCGTTGCGAGTGAGTAAAACAAGGGGTACGGTGGACTTTACGGTTTGTTAGGCAGAAACAATCAGGAATCTTCATTGCAACAGTGACAGGACTTCCAGAACATGAGTCTTTCGTGTACGTGCGTATGCACGCAGGAGATATATACCTGCGGATGCGCATGCAGATTTAGAGCTGACCGACTCCATTTCGCGCTTGTAGCTCAAGCTCGGTCCGTGGAATGCCTCGAGTACTTCAAAGACGGATGGCTTTGCAGGCAGCCGCTGCAGCGCAGCCGGTGCTGCCCCTGCCGGGTGTGCGCCGGACGCTCGTTCTGGCAGACACCAGTGCGTGCGGCACCCAAAAGGATTGTCACTTTGCAGAGTCAGGCATTGCCTATTGCCTGTCTCCAGTCGCAACCTTTGGTGACCTACGTACTGTAATCGGCACTGCGTACTACACACCGCAAGTGTGCTGTGTATAGCTTCCTGTTATGTAGACTTCACAGTGATATAGTGGGAAGCAAAGATCGTGGTTTTCCTTCGTTGTGAACGGCTCCGGGAAGATAGCATTTGTTTCTTTCCACCCACCTGCAGTCCTTCCTACAGTCTGGAATGTAGTACCCCTTTTAATGAGCTGTTTTTATTGTCATTATTACACCATAGTAGTTCCTTTTGGGGATTACCTTATAGGATTCTTAATTTTTAAATATGAACCCCAAAAAGGAACTGCTATGGGGCCTATGGCCTATGGGTAGGGATAGCACCCCAAACCCTAAACCCCAAAACATTAGGCAACAAAGCAGAATTATTGGTTTTCAAGTTTTGGTCGGTGCAAGCTTGGATAAATCACCTTGTCTGTCTCTACCGCTGGGTGACAGCCAGACTGGCTTTTGTCAAACGACATGACACTACCATTATTCTGTGTGCTGCGACTATTTTTGTTGTACTGATTGTTCTTATACGTTTACCTATCAAAGTAAAAATAGCTATGGTGTTGTTATTAATGTTCTGACTGTCATCATCTTCTGCTTTAGTGCTATCATACTATACATGTTGTTGTCATTGTTGGTATTTTCATGCTGCAGCAGTTTCGCTTCGGGAACCAAGGCTGCACGCGCGAGGTACCGGAGTGTGCGGGGGCCAAGCTGCCGGTCCCCACTGGTCTCAGACTGTAAACTCTGCAAAGGAACAGGTACGGTTCGCTCAGATAGATATGCTTGAAAGACTGGTACTAACTGGTACGTAGCTTTACTTCGGGCTCGAAGACTACTCCCAGCAACTTTGCGCAATAATGTCTGCTAACTATACTGCACTGTACCCTGGAGGTGAAGCCTTCAAGCCATTAAACTCTGAGGCTCTGTTTCCTAAACCTTACCTTAACCCGGAATAACCTACCTTTTTGAGGACTCATGTAAGGAAATCATAATAAGGAACCCTAAAAAGGGTGGCAATTGCACAGGTCAAGCACGAAGGTCCTGAACCCTCAACCCGCAGCCCCGGTTTCAAGCGGCACAGCCATTTTGCTCCAAGCCCTACAAGGTTCAGCCCGAAAAGCCACTTTTTTTACCTAGAAGGCTAAAGCCGCGAGCCCAACATCCGTTATACAACACAAGTTATAAGGTTAACGTTTCAAACAGACATTAACAAACAAGCCCTTCATTGTAGCCTTGTGATGGAGACGGCACCCATGTACAAGGCTTAAGCACGCCACACAGCCCAAAGGCCGGGTCGAGTTCGCTCTTCCTGGCGCCAGGCTGCCGCCAGGGTCAAACGAAACGAAATTAGGGTTTAGGGCAATTTAGGGCTTAGGTTTAGGGCTTTGGCTTGTAGTGTTGAATACATAGGAGCCTTAGGAGTCAGGATCTGGCCAACAAGCCCAAAGAGCCCTCCACTTCTCAAGCCCAAATGGCCTGAACTCTAAACTCAACAGCAATCCGCAAAGGCTCGTCCTATATGGAGCTTCTACACCCGGAACTCCTAGGGTTTAAGCCCGAAAATCAGGGATTTTGGGAGATGTAGCGCTGTGGTTACCATCGCGGTGGTTACCATTGCTTATTTGGGTTCTCGTTCGGGGATTTGGTGTGTACGTCTCTCGTTGTGTTTTTGGAGTTCGGGTTTTTGTTTGGCTTCTTAGGGTTCCCTGCGATTTTTCTGAGTGCTTATTGTAGGGCTTTGCTGCTTTTTTTCCTGGTTTCTGAGGGCTTTTAGCAGTGCCGCACGGGTAGTAATTCATACGTGTTTCGTATTTCGCAACAATGGTTTCTGGTTTACAGTTCAGGCAGGTTAGGGAACCCTGTAATCAGGACCCTATTGAATATTATCGACACTACTACGTAAAGGAGCCAAAAGCTCCCTAAACAAACAGATTCGAAGAGTTGTTTCAGGCTTTGTGCAATTGCAGGGGCCGCAGGGATAATCATACAGTGTACTCCGGATATAGGGTTGCCAAAATGTGTGGAAACCTGAATCCTCAGTCCTTCCGCCAACACCCCCAAAAAGTAGGGCTTAGGGTTTAGCGCTAGCCATCCTCTGATTCTTTCACAACGGAGGCGGGCGACAACGACGGTGGCCTCAAGCGGCTGAATCCGTACCGTTGGACGGAGGCAGCTGAATTTTGTCGGGTTCGGTATGAAGGCAACTGCAAGGGTGCCACATGGGTTCTATACGAGGCATGAGGTTTAGGGCTGCAGAGTTTGAGGCTGTTCGGGTTAAACGCCTCAGGTCGAGCCTTTTAAACCGGAGAGGTCCTTTATTTAAGCAAACACTAGACCGGCGGTGTCAAATCAAATGAACGGATATAGCCGATAATAGTATATAGCATATGCTCCATATTAGAGGTTTTTGCCCAGACTACTGTGTCTCACAACAGTCATAACACCATTTGCAAGATCCCCAGAATAATCCACAGCTGGAGGCCTGGGAGGAGGGTTCCGAACTTCAGATTGCCCACGCGCACTGTGCGGAGGGCGTAGGGACTCGAGACTTTACAGACCAACCAAAGCGCCCGATCGAGGCGTCCCTTGAAGCAACCTCTTATTTTTTGCGTGCAGGGTCCCATAGCAAATACTCATGGCTCCTGTACATGCAAATCCACTGATTAGGTTTCGCAAGTTTATCGATGCCTATCGAACATAGGCTATGCCCCTTCTGTTTTTGCATGAAACCTTGGATTTGACCAAGAACGGTGCAGGACAGAGCCAGACTTCTCAGGTCCCCAGCACAGCGAACCCTAGATTTGTTCTTGGCGACGAAAAGCTCGATGCCCCAAAACCAGCTAGCACCCAAAGTTCTTAATCCCGAACAAGAAATGCTGAGTTGTAAGCCCTTGAGGAATGTAGCCTCCAGGGCTTAAGATTGAGCATCTCTCCAAGAAGGTCCCTCTGCTTCAACCCGAAACCCTTACACATCCTTGTGCCGAAATGCTCAGAGGCCAAGCCAGAGCTTTGACAACTTCGTGGAAAAAGTCTGGGATTGGGCTCGCTGAACGGCTTCCGAGGGGTTGCAGGCATGATAGTTCCTTCTTAGTTTAACCAAATGCATATTTCGGATCCTACAAATAAGATAACCCCCAAAAGGAACTACAATGGAGACTATGGCCATATCCCTTGCAGATTCACAGCTGGTCGGTGACGGTATACACCAGCAGAGCTTGCCCAGAAAGCATTGTCACAGAAACAAAGTAGCTTTAAACATGCCAAGACTCTGTGATCACGTATCCAGAATCCGAAAAAAGGACGCTTTCTTCAACATTCACGGATGGGCTGTAGGGCTTAGGTCATCAGGCTTAAGTTTGTTTTGGTGGAGAGGCAGACTGTAGCAAATACATGAAAGAGTTGTTTCTTTTCAACAGTCAGGCTGGTCGGGAAAGATATTTTCAAGTGCAGGTTCGCTGTGCAGAGCACCACTGGCTTGGCTAGGGTGGTGGGTATTCCCGGGCTTCGGGTTTAAGGCTTGCAGCAAGGTGTGGGTTTAGGGCTTGCCGTTGAGGTGTACTCTAGAGATTTGGGAGTTTCAAAGTTTCCGGCCCGGAGTTTAGGGCAACATTTAGGGTTTAGGGTTTAGGGCATCTACATGTTGCAAATCCCACCGCCGTGTGAAGCTGTGCCCTCTCAAAGGACTCTGGCATGGCACGAGAGACCCAGCTTTTGCTTCAGGTAGGCTCCACATCACACCGGCCCTAAGTGTAATGCGATCTCCTCTTGGAACAACGAATACAGATACTGCAGCAAGAAAGGCCCCGCAAAAACTACCAAGTAGCAGCTTCCGCTCACATTGAGCAAGAGAACTCCGAACTTTTGGACATTGGAATACTGTGACGGCTTTTTTCAACAAGTAGGGAACCCGGGAAATGCCGGATTATGGCTGTCTAGATATCCTTAGCCTTGAAGCCCTACAATATCGTAAACAAATACTGAGAGCCCGGATGCCCTAAGCCCAAGTACATCAAGAAGGCCTAAATACGCAAAACAGCCTCGCCTCTTTTCCCAGTAGGTTTTGATCGCTGCAGCCATGCCGCCGCGAGTTCTTCAGGGGGCTCCGATACGAGCTGGCCCGCAGGAGCGGGGTTCTTTTACCCCAGACCCGATTATAAACCCTATAAGCCCTAAACCCCAAAAACCCTAAACGCTAAACCATATATCCCTAAACCTAAAACCCCCTAATCCCAACCTCTATAAACCCTAAATCCCAAAACCCTAAACCCTAAACCATATAGCCCTAAAAAACCCAAAAACCCTAATTAACCGCTAAACCCTAAACCCAATAGATCCTAAACCCAAAAACCCTGAACCTTAAACCACATGACCCTATAAAGCCAAAAACCATAAACCCTAAACCCTAAACCCAAAAGCCCTAAACCCCAAAACCGATCCTGCAAGGTTACGCTCTAGGGTTTCAGGGCATGCTGGGAGGTTCCCTAAACCGCACCTAAAGCCTGAATAACCTACCTGTTTAGGGATCCTTATTATGATTTCCTTAAATAATTCCGTATAAAGGTAGGTTATTCCGGGTTAAGCTGGGCCCTGAACCGTTTCAGGGTTGTGAGGTTTCCGTTTCAGGGTTCCGGGACTGTTCGCCCGTTGTTTTCTGTCTTTCCGGTTGTGCAAGAACGACAAGCAAGTAGGTATAAGAGTGGTATCGTAAGATGTTGGCTATTCTGGAAATGTTTAGGTCTTCCAGGCCTGATTAGGGCAGCCAGGTTCCCCACAAGACTTCCTATAGTAGGAATTGTTTTTATGCTTTGGGTAAGTTTCACCCATATGGGTGTTTCCGAAACAGGGGGTACCTTATTGTGGGTCCTTACCATAAGAATGCTACTATTTAGGCTACTGTACTAGGGTCCCCTATGTTCGGAAACCCCCCATATAAGTAAATGGGATCTCTTGGGCGAAGGAGTGGTGGGTTTTCTTCCTTTGCCAGTGAATTCTTGGAAGGCCTGAAATACTGTTGATGATATAAATCCTGCATTACCTTAAGGACCCCAAACTACGGGAATTATACAATTTAGCATGGGTAATGCAGAATTTATATCATCAGCCGTATCACTGACACATTCCTGACGCGTTCCTTGTTTAAAGCTCGAAGACATTATGCCCCCAAAGCTCCACGCCCAGTCTCTTGATACTTTCGGTTTACCGGCGGTTTCCGGAGCCGAGTTCCCTCCAACTCTCAGACTTGGGTGTGAGGGTTTGGGGTTTAGAGTTTTGGAACGAAGGCCTAATCAGCAATACATCCCGGGATAGCCGAAAGCAGGCATGATACAAGTGCTGAAGCTTCAGGCATGGTGAGGAGGGAAGTGGACCATAGTGGACCATATATAGTACTCTAAGTAGTTCATACAATATAGAGCGCCGAAACCTAGTTAATTAATTGTTATACCAGACCTTTATGACTCATGTGATCCCGAAGCCACAGACGCCCTGGCACCTGATAAGGCGGTCCGCTATGCCGCAGCGCCACGACCGCATCAGCAGGCCACTCCCTCCCGCGTCTACTGTAGGGTTTAGGGGCTGTGTATCTTAGTGCGACAAGACTTTTATCCTGCTCATGTATCCTTAGACCTGTAGATGGACCTGAAACCCGGAGCCCTAGGCCCTAACTCCGAAACCCTGAGCCAGAAACAGCCTCTTGTCACCTTAAACTCTTACATTCCCAAACGTAACTTGAAACCCGAAACTTTGAACCATCTCAGATGGGTTTAGGGCTTAAGGTTTTGGGGTTCAGGGTTTAGGGTTGCGGCTTCTGTGAGGCATTGCTGCCGATGCCGACATTTGGGCAACAGCCGGTGGCCATCGTCGCTGGCCAGGCTGGCCGTTCGTGCTTCAAGGGTTTACCTTAACCCTGAACAACCTAGCGTTTTAGGGCTCCTTATTATGATTTCCTGATGTATATATATATATATATATATATACAAATATATATATATATATATATACGTCCTGAAAAAGTTATTCGGGGTTAAGGTAGGGTTTAAGTAGGGTTCAGGATGGGGCCGGGGGAGCCCCGGGGTCTCCCTGGAGCAGTTTTCCGTATGTTCTTTGTGATTTTTCTGTTGCGCTTTTGAATCGTGTTAGTCTCCCGGTCCCTGGTGCTAAATATGGAATGGGGGAATGGATATATAATCCCCAATACTAGTCTCCAGAATCCATTCCCCCACAGCCCAACGAAGAGCCAGGGAGTTTTGGTCTGAAGTGGCGGACAGAGTCAAAGGGCAAAAGGAAGGACCCTTAATGGGGACCCCTACCCTATAATGGGCTGTATAATGGCTATATTAAGGGCATATACCTACGGGTCCTTATTAAGGGTCCCTCCTTTTACCCTTGGACAGAGGCTCCTCCATCGCAGCAACTTCCCAGAGACTCCAATATCCCTTAATTAAGGAATATAGCTTAAATTATAGTAGGATCCCTAATGTGATTTAAGGAATAATCCTTAATTAAGGGATATTGGAGTTTCTGAGTTTAGGTATGAGGAAACAGCAACCTATGATCCCCAGAGGGAGGGCGCAGCTGCCGCATGCAGAGATACTACGGCTGATGATGTAAATCCTGCATTGCCGGGAATATACCATCATTTCCATAGTCTAGGGTCATTCAGGTGATGCAAGATTTATTTATATATCTATCTATATATATATACTTATTTGTTTACTTCTTTATTTATTTATCATCAACAGTAGGTGCAAGCACGAGTCAAGGCGCACTCACCATCCACATTCGGCAAGGGACTTTCTTCTCCAAGACCTTCGAGCCGATCGTTCCTGAACCCTATACCCGAATGTAGGTTCCTTATATGAATCCTACTATTGTGGGGTTATGCCCAGGGTTTCTTAATCAAATTCCTACATTAATTATCAATCCTAAACCCTAAACCCCGAGCCCAAAACCCCAAACCTTCAATCCCTCAAACCCTGAACCCTGTTCCCAACACGCCGCAGAGGTTGTCGATGCGGGCGTCAATGACGAAGGCGTGGTGCAGGGCCGCATTGTCGGGGCGCCCAATCTGCCCTTCTGGTTTTGATTTGGATTTAGGGTTTGCCTACAGTCTCCATACGTCTCCGTTGAAATTGTAATGCGTGTCATTTCGACCAATCTTACACTTAGGATCCTATCCGGTATCCCCGAAAAGGAACTATAACGGAGACTGTAGGTTTTGTTCTAAATTTTCGGATCTAGGATTTAAGGTTTCGGATCAGGGTTCAGGGTTTAGGGCTTAGGGAAGCATCTGAAGGGGAAAGGGTCCCGAACTAGTCTCTGCGTGTGCTCATCAAGAACGAGGGTTTAGGGTTTAGGGGTTCAGGATTCAGGGGTCAGGGTTCTAAATGTATGTTGGTTCTTTGTGGTCCATCCGAACCAATCTCGATGAACTCGCGGACACGGAATTGTCTAGCATATGGCCAGGAGAGTCCAAGGGAGGCACTACACTCCATCGCCAGAGAGCATGTCCATCCTCGCCTGCATCCAAACCATGGTAATGAAGTTTGATCGTTGTTATTATTAGCCCTAAACACAAAACCCTAAACCCTGTTTATGTTCGCAGTTTCAATTGCTATGTAGCGATGAGAGCAACATGTTATCCCTCCAAGGTGCTCGCTTCCTTTCTGAGAGTCTTCTGGTTAACGTTGGCCATAGACATTCTTCATCGGACCCAAAACAAAGCCGTCAAGGAGAAACCTGTACCTAGCATCTAGATTTAAGAACCGCTTCGTTCTCTAAATCCAAATCCCATATCCACAAATGAAAAGCCAAAAAACCCTCAACTCTATATGTGCCCGCGCTCCGCGTTCTCGACCCCCCCCCCCCCCCCCCAATGGTATCCCCCCCCCCCGACCCGGGCGACCACACAACAAGAACAAGAACAAGAACAAGAAGAAGAACAGCAGCAACAACAAAGCAGCAGCAACCACGCGGAGGAACCACAGGAACCACAGGGGGGGAGGGGGGAGACAG